CCGCACCTGCCACAGATATAAAACCTAAATTATTTTATTAAAATACGACAATTTAAGAAAAATTAATTCTAAATGATCACAGAAATAATCTATACTAATATTATAAGAGGTAAAGTTTGTGAGTTTGTGACGTTGTAGGGGTAATCTCTGGATCTACTGAACCGATTTAGATGAAATTTGGTAAGAACATAGTTTGAGACCCTGGGAAGGACATAGGATACCTTTTTTACCTGGAAATCATCCCTTAAAGGTGTAAAAATAGGGATGAAAGTTTGTATTGGGAAGCAAGCTAGGGACGAACCCGAGCGAAACGAGGGTGAGTCGCTAGTACTAATATATTTTGAAGACCTTTCAGACTGTTTTAAGTCTGGAATAAATGAGTCGTATTTGGTAAATAATGGTAGTTCTTGTTATCATAATAAAGTTATTAAGCATATAAAAAAACAAATACAAACATCTGCCTTATACATTTACATATCAAGCAAAATAAATAAATTTACAATTTATTTGCACATACATATATGTATGCATGCTTTTTATACCGATACTGTTACAGTTTACTTTCAATGATTCCTTAAAACTTTACAGCTTCAAAGGTACATTAACTTTTAAAACTTATTTTTAAAATATATATATAAGGTGAAGATGTCGCGTATTCAACATATAAAACAAACAATTGAACTAAATACCAAAAATGACATTTTGGATTTGGATAGGCTATCGACCCAAGCAAAATAGAACAAAAAAAACAATTTTTGTTAAAAAAAAACCTTTCAATATGATAATTTATTCTTATAAAAAAATATAAAACATCATAATAATCGCCGATTGATGCCATAACATTAATATAAACGTAAAACGTCTTTCCCATCAAATTAGCAATAATTTAAGCATCTCTAATGCTTTACGTCATTAAGATGCTATTAATCAAGAAATGAAAAATGGAAGTTCAAAAAATTTTATGGGCTATAAAAGCCGTTTCGTTTTTGAGATACAATTTCAATGTGTAATTTGAATTTTGGTAGAAAATGATTGTGTTGTCACTACATAACAAGTATTATAAAATAAACTCCCCCGCCGCGTCTGTCTGAACGCGATAAACTCAAAAACTAGCGAACGGATATTCATACGGTTTTCACCAATAGATGGAGTGATTCATGGGGAAGGTTTAGATATATAATTAACTATAGTTTTGTGTAAATCGACTGAAATGCGTTATATGACGATGATTGCTTAAGATGTCGGAAAAAATCATGCCGACTGGAAGCTTTATTTGCGTACGCCGCGTAAACAAATAAAGTTATATGAAAACATTGTATTACAGAATTATGCGTCTTAAAAATATCTTCCTATTAAATTGTAGCAACACTATGTGCATGTACCGGGTGTGATGTGTGAAGTGTGCGAGGGTAAGTCACTAGTCTATATTTTCCCGCAGTAAAAAGTATTCTATATGTTGACCTAGATAACCAGCTATCATCATATCAAATTTTATCAAAATCCCTGAAGTGGTTTTTCCGTGATGCGGTAATAGACAGACAGACAGACAGACAGACAGACAGACAAAAATTCTAAAAACTGTAGATTCGGCCTCCGTATCGATAATAATATTATCAATTTTAATAAGATTTTCCAAAAAATATTTAATGTACAGATTCGGCTTAGTTACAATTTTATTATATGTATAGATTAATAGCAATAGGCATGTTATAGGTTGTTTAGCCACAATTGCCTCTGATGAGAACAAAGGAAAAAGTCAAAATGTGCGTTTTGTAGTAATTAGTCACTAGTTACATGTTATGTTTATTGATTCTTAGAACAGGAAAGAAAAATTTAGCCTACAAATGTTTTACCAGAGCTTACCATACATAATATAGTAGCTCATTGCATTTAGTTTTTTATGACAAAAAGAACTAAGGATAAAATATTTGGATCACTAACTATGATGAAATTAGTGAGGAGACTAAAGACAGCAAATTAATTATGAAATAGGAAATATGTGTATAGTAAAAATGACAAGAGCCGAACCAAAGGCCAAAGAGATAAAAAGTGCACATACATTAATTATAATTTTAAAGTTACTATATATCTAGTTTGAGAATCTTATTAATTTGATTTTATTTCTCATCTAAAATAATTATTTATATAAAAAAAACATTGTGAATGTATTACACATGTTTTAGCTTCATAAAATAACCTTCAAAACTTGGGTAAATAGAGAAAACAAGTTGTCCAAGCCATATTTTTTTAGTATTGATAAATATATTTCTATAATATAACAGTAACATTAATGAAAGTATTTTCTTTTATTTTTCCCTATTTATTGACAACATAAAAACAACGATAATTGGTTTTACTTTGCTTTACTTAGAATAATATATTAATAATAATAATAAAGCCTTTATTGCTGTTTTCAATTGTTACAATACAATACATGGTTATTACATGTTACCAACGATCTGATTTTTCCACAACAGCTTGTCATTCGACAAAGGCCTCCTCCAAAGACTTCCATTTATCTCTGTCTCTTGCAATTCTGATCCATTCTGGACCGGCAACTCTTTTGAAGTGATCTTCCCAGCGTTTCATTTGTCGACCTTTACTTCTTTTGCCATCCCAAAGAATAATATATTATGTAGATTTAAAGTATTTATATGTAGATGTAGCTGATACAGTAGTTATATCTCCATATTAAAAACAGTTTTATTAGGTGAATTATGACTATATATAATTTTATTTGTATGTAATTTTATTAAGTATATTTAAACTTTGCTTTAAAATCATAGTTTCATTTTCCCAAAAACCGAATGGTTTTTTTATAGAAGAAAAATATAACATACTAGCAGAACCCGCGGCTTCGCTCGCGCTAAAAATACAAAAAAAAACTCTAAAAAGGTAGGTTCCATACAATCTTTCTTCCACTATTTTTACCCCCATATGGGATGAATTTCAAACAATGCTGAAACATGTATTTATTTATTTGTATTGAAGACCATTACTACTACTAAGTTTCAACGTTCAAGTAATTCTGATCGTAAATATTTTTTTTGTTTAATTATAATGTGTTTTTCCGTGGGAATGAGATAATCTCCAGCGGTAAAAAGTAGCCTATGTCACTCTCCAAGCCTCCAAATATTTCCACACAAAAAATCACGCCAATCAGTCACTCTGTTTCGTCGCGAAAGAAGTAAAAACAAACAAACACACTTTCACATTAATTTTATAATATTCATATAAATTTAAATAACCATATAGAATGTTTTTATATATAAAATGTGTTTATAATTAGTTTCTGTAAAGTTATATTTGTATTACAAATCAAACAAAAAACTTATTGTACACTACCTAAGATAACAATTTAGGAAATAGTATCCTAAATCCTTTATAACATAACGTAATATTTAACATATTCCTATTAAACAGAATGAAGAATTGTATTTTTACAATTTGCTGAATTACTCCTTATTTTACTATACAGATCGTAATCTGAAATCAATAACAAAATTCTTAAAAAATATGGAATTTGAAACTTATCTACATATTTTAAAGAGTAAATAGCATTAGGTCATTCTATTTCTAAACAAGAATTATAAGATATTTATGTAGTTTTGTAAGAAAGATATCTATTATACTTAAAATGTAATTGTAATGAAATAAATAACCAATAAAACAATGTTTTGTAATATCGATCGGCTGTTACTGACAGTCTGCGCTAAGAAATAAAACTAAAACTTACTTCAAAAGCTCCCGATGTAGATCGTGCACTAGCTTTTTTAACACTCAATTTGATAGAAATGTTAACTTTATTCTAAATCAATCACCTTTCACTTGTTTTAATTTCGCTAAGTTCTTATTCTCGTCAATCGCAAAACATAGAAATAATCACGAACAAAAAAACAGCTACAATAGCGCCACCAAATTTTGAAAGTAAATATAATGACATTAAAATGCTTCTTGCCATATAAAAAGTGATACCATTGCAATTAATTATAACTTTTCAAACCTATTAAATAATATTATAGGTACATAGATCACTTATAAAATTTAAAAGTATAAATTTAAGTTCCAAGTTAAGCTGTTTTGCTTAATTTTAATAGAAATTTTTATACCAAGCAACCCACAAAAGGCTTTAATATTTCTTTAGGTAAGAATGTGTAAATGTTGCCTATTCACAAAATATCCTAAGATATTTCTAAGACAATAAGACAGATTTTAACATGAACTAACGTTTCAGGGCAGATCATTTTTAACAGGACTCGCGATTCAGTTATTTAAATTTAAGACTGAAATTGAGACAAAAAGGATTAAGCAATAATAAAACAATATAAACATGTTTGATGAGTATTTTACTGAGTATATAAAATATCTTCGTAGGTCAAGACAAGACTATTAAAAATTATTGTCTACTTATGCCTAAAGTCATGTTAATAAATTTGTAATAAAAATGCAATACAATTTTACTAGATACATTAAGAAATAAAGAAAAGTTAAGAAACATAAAAAAAATTGGTTACATTTTTATACTTATGTGAGAAAGCTTGCATTCCTATGAACAACAGTATCATTTTTGTTCATTCAATTAAATTTCATGCAAAATCATCTTCTTAATTAATAACTTATACTACTAATAGATAATAAAATACTACTTTTTAAAAAACTAAAGGAGGAACATTATGTTTGCAACATATTGAGTTTGTACCTATATGTATTTGTACTATACTTACATATAATTATATTATATATCTTTCCTTTAATACTATGTAGATTTGACGTTACAGTCTTACTTCAGTCTGACACATAATTAAATTCCCTAATAATTAACAATCTCAAGGTACTTTAAAATAATATTTATATTTTTGAAGTTAATTTTAATAATAATTCCCTCCTTATTTGAAGAGAGAAAAGATTAATCAAATTTATATATATGCATGTGTAATTTAAAAATTGTAAATTTAAAATACTATAAAAAAGTGATTAATCCATATTTTTAAATCAAACTATGCAAAATCAACTCCGGTGTCTAAAAAATCTCGAATATGTACTATTGCATTTCTTGGCAATAAACGCAAAAGGCGACCTAAAAACAGTAAGCGCGTCGGTATAGAGGCCTCTACGTTGTTACGAAGAACAATATCCAAGATGCATTCAGCAGCCTTAGTAGGTGTGATTGTGCCAAAGTAACCGGGTATGCTAAAAAATTAAAAAAAAATTATTATTATTATTTTTATAATTAAATAAATGTAAATTCGTATGGGTAAATATTATTTTTTACTGTTTTTGCCATCGGTTCCGCTCGTTTTGTATGCGGTGTGGGAAAGGTGTTCAATATCCTAATGATGCAAGATCCGTTTGATTTCCTAAATTACATCGAAATCTGTTCAGCTTTTTCAAAATGCATAAGTAACAATTACATTTATTAAATTAGTGTGGATAACATTCATATTTGGTGAGTCTTATACATATAATTTATACACGCGTAGTCTTCAAATATTAAGTGTAACAGAACATTTATCAATTTTCTCAAAACATACATTTTGTCATGCTATAACTACAAATTACAAATAATAAACCCATCATAAACACATTAATTCAATTAATTACAAACTCCCTCTCTCTTCCCTAGAAAATAATATTGTATTACTTATGTTAAACTACTGATATCTACCTATGTTAAAATTATATTTTACGCAAAATGGTTATCTTTTTTTTCATCAAACTTGAAGGAGTGATAACATTTTCAAAATGTATTAATAATTGCTTCTCACTACAAACTTTCATCTCCATTTTCACCCCTTTAAGGGCTGATTTCCGGGATAGAAAGTATCCTATGTCCTTCCCAGGGTCTCAAACTATCTTCTTACCTTTCATCTAAATCAGTTTAGTAGATCCAGCGATTACCCCCTACAACGTCACAAACTCACAATCTCTCAAACTTTAACTCTTTATAACATTAGCATAGAAAAATATATTTTAAAATGTATAAGCAGCAGAACTTCGCACTTGGAACTCCCATGTTCCATGTTGTGGAATGTTCTTGACATACGCACAGTCTTAAAGAAAAACTGTCCTCCTCAAGGTATCTACTCATTGGTCCAACAGTTCAGCGAGAGCTTTTTAATATTTATTGACTCCTCTGTGCTATCCAAGTTCAACCATTGACCAAATTACCAGTGTAATAACCATTCGCTCGTTATTCCACATGACACTTATATGATAGAGTTGGTCTACTAACAATATTACAGGTCTACTAGCACTATCACAGGTCTACTATAAAATACCTATCGACCAATCATATCAGAGCGAGCATGACTATTTTCCGATACTCTGTAGTACTACATGTAGTATCCTGGCTACCTTATTATATCCACGGTAATGTAATGCATAAAGTATTGCAAGGGTGGTATGAGACCCTTACGAAGAGATTTAAAAATATTTGCGCCTCAACTGAGACGTACGAAAAGCTTTATTGTTTTTAATAGTTTAAAGAATCCGCATTAGGATAAAAAGTTTAATTAAAAATACTTTAATTTTTATTTTTAATTTAATTAATTAATATTTATTTTTAAAACATACGATGTCTCAATACTTTTTTGTTTGACATTAGCGAAGTTACGGGAGGAATAAAATGTTTATTTTGGTATCAAATTATAAAAGTTACATAACATAACCACCTTGTACAATTTTCGTATTTAATTATACGATGTGGCAGCCCCGCACTGTTGTCTACCGAGTGTATACTGAACGCGGCGCGCGTAGGGATAACTCGATTTCCGACCGTTTGTATGAAAATGGAATACTGTATGTAATATTACCGTGTTATATCTGTGCAATATCTAGCGTGTACACTTTACAACCAGAGACAATAGGAGCTTTCCGGGTAGATAACAATTGACACACTTAACAAATAACAACTGTCAAGTTTCTTGTCTTAAATTTTCGTCCATAATAATTGCAGAGATAAGTTTCAACGAATTGTAGCGTCAATATCTGTATATAATGTTGATGCAACTGGACACACGGTCTCATTGAAGCTCTGTAGAATCTCTCAGGTCCTTACTCTTTCATAACGTCAAGTAGTGAGCACTACAAGTCAGTACTACTTGCTAGCTTTGTCTATTTATTAGACCCCTCCACCTGATACGACAATAATCGTTCAAGGCTCGTACTTTATCACTATCCGTCAAAATAATTTTAAACAAACTTTTTAACTTAACTAGCGATTGAAGATTACCGTGTTTTATATCACCGTTTTCGGTGCCTAATGCCTCAGACATTAAAAGATATTGAAATGCTAAATAATAATAAATTTGTTGGGACATTAACATACAGCACCATCTAGTTCCATGATAAGCTACGAGGCCTGTGTTATAGATACCAGATAGTTGATACACTACACATATATGACTTTAAATACATACATATTATAAATATAAACACCCATGATTGGAGTACAAACATTCGGGCTCATCACACAAATGAATGCTCCCAGTGGGACTCGAGCTCGCGACCGCTGGCTCAATAATTAGGGTCAAAACAAACTGCGCCAAACGTGTTGTTAGAAGATTCTACAATAGAAAATAAAAAAATTACAAGAGAAATATTGTCAAATTTTATCCTTCGTCACTCTACAAACACAACTGTACACTTAGAAGTATCTACATCAAACTACAACCCATATCATCACAAATGAAGGTCTACTTTACCGTTAGAAGTCTCATGTTCAATCTTTAAATGTTAAATATTTTTGGGATGATAATAAACACACGTTTTTGGAACGTTACTCGTATAAGAGATAAGATTTTTATTTAATAAGGTTTATCTAATTCTTAATAATATACGCATGTTAAATAAGTTAGTAAAAAAGTACCTTTACTTTTTAGTACTTAATGTTAAATTGCCATTGCCACATCCAATAAAACACAACTACCAAAAAAAAACATGATACCTTATGAATGAAAAATGTTACCTCTCTATTCGATTAAAACGAGTTTTATCCTTGGAATAAAATCTGGAACTATAAATAAAGTGGTTTGTAAAAATTCATTCCTACGTTCTTATTGTAAATATTGTTTTTAAGTCTGCAAAAATAATCATATCTGTAAATTTTTATATGAAGTAGTTGCAGACTCACTACGCACGAATTTAATCATGCATTTAAATAAAATTGTATATATACATAATTGTAAAGTTAAATATTGTGGAAATAATTGTAAACCTGTTCTTTGCAAATAATATGAAATATATTTTAACAATAATTCAACAAATATAGAAAAGCATGCTGCAAGATATTCAAAAAAATTTTACTTTTGTTTTTTTTTTGTATTTATTCAAATTTTTAGTTTGTTTTTTTTAAATGTTTATTTGGCAAAAACTCCGAGCGAAGCTCGGTCAGCCAGGTACTTATTATTGAAATGTTTTAATCTAGTAGACTAGAAGTTTTAATTCAACTGCGAGTAAAGGTTACATGCACCCAATTTTTAATAATATAGAAGTTAAATCGATGGGCAAAAAAATACTCACGTCAATCTAAATTCTGGACTCTGTTCTACAATGAATGGATAGATGTGTATCAAACTGACATGAACCCGAGTAATCTCATTCAACCTAAGATCTTCTAACAATGAAGCAACGAGGCCTTGTATGCCAAATTGTGCCGCTGTTAGGGCCATGTATTCCTTAAGCTGACTTAACCCAGCAACTGAAGTCAGAGCAACTATATGTCCATGATTCTTCTCTTTCATTTCTGGCAGGAAACTATTTATAAGCTGAAAAATAGTTTTACATACAATTACTTTTTTTTATAAAGAATGATATGGCAATTTAGTGGGCAAACAAATTCACATAGATAAATAATATTATTTATCTACGTACATGATGATTGCAAATTCACTTCAACTTCCATTATTATAATTATTATTTACTATATAAACAATATGTAAAAGAAGAATTATTATGAACTGACTATAATGTTATTCATGAATTGAGAAATCTAATATATAAATATCTCGTGTCACGCTGTTTGTGGTCGGTCACAATCCTCCGAAACGGCTCAACCAATTTTAATGATTTTTTTTGTATATTAAGTTTTGTAAAAAATAGGTCGTAAAGTATTTCTCACCCTCCTACCCCCAGCCCCATTTTTTTAATCGCGATTTTAGTATTTTTGTATGAACAATATTATGTAAATACATACTGCTGTTTAACAAGCCAAAGCTTTTTTTGGAGATTGAACGGGTAGTCGCGGGTTTTATAAAAAAAAAAAAAAAAATAAAAAAAAATAGAAATAAAAAATAAAAATCTTTTATTAGCGAGCAACATAGGCTCATAGTTGGTTAGTACAATAATTACTTAAGAACTATGTTAAAACAAATTGTTTTGCTTGTAATCTGATATAATTAGCAGAAAATAATCTTACCCAAATAAAACCAGTTATTGTGAGATCTAAGGTGGCATGAACATTCTCAGTAGATTGAGCCATCAAAGATTTAGCACTTGGAATCCCACAGCAATAGAACAACATGCTAACAAAATGACCGTCCAACTTTATTTGCTCCACTAAAGTATCCACATTCTCTTTCTTGGTTACATCACAAACAAATGAGTGTGCAATGCCACCTTTTCGATTAATTAATGCTACTGTTTTTGTATTATTAGCCTCACTATAATCTACACAGAGTATTTTTGCACCTCTTATTGACATTTGAATTGCTATATCCCTTCCAACACCTTTGCCAGTACCTACCACCTGCAATAAAAAAGTGTATAATGCATCGTTAATATCAATTATTAATTAAATAATAATAGCTGCATACATTGTTGGAAGCAAATGTGTTGTTTGTATTCAGCCCTTTTTAATGTCCCAATGCTGGGCATGAGCCTCCGTTCAATACAAGGGGGACCCGGCCAAAGTTGGCCACACTGGCAACGTGCATGTTGGCAGACTTCACATGTCTTTTGAAAATTTGCTAGGTTCTGATATTTTCCTTCACAGTAAGTGGTAGTCATGTTGGAAATGATTCGCATATGAAAAACAAAAAACAATGCGAGACCCAGGATTTGAAACAGCTTCACTCGATTCGCCAAGAAAGCACTATCAATGGGCTACCACTGCCTTTTTGGGAGCAATTATTATAAATCAATTATTGTTAATAAATATAAAACATGAATATTAATTTTCTAATCTTACCATAACAACTTCATCTTTTACTGATTTTAATGGAAGGGGTTTAAGATATCGAATAAAATTGCCTATTGTTGCAAATATTGCAATTATTGTGACCCAAAAAATATCCACCAATAAGACAACAAAAGAATACAATTTCAGCAACATGTTGAATGATAGAACAGAGTTTATATCATAATTTAATACAGTTTTTCTCTGGCTGGCTATAAACAAAGAAAAATAATTATTTTAATAATTAACTTAAATAGTAAATATATAAATATATTTAAATTTATTTTATACTTGCCATTTAGTTTTTGTTAGTGTATTATACATTTCTACTTGACTTAAACTAGATTAATATTTAAGGAAATCAAGCTATATACTTTTGACCTTTGAATTTAATGATTTAGAAGTGCTTGTATAAGTTTTTCTTTTAAGTTTATTTTAAATTTACTTGACCATTAAAATACTAATATGTTACTTATTTAGTTATTAGTTTAATTTTAATAATTTGCAATGTTAAAAGTTAAACAATATGATTGGTTACTGTAAACTGCTCATTGATTACTTGACTAATAAAGTAAAAAAACGAACAAATTAAAAAGTGTAACACTCCAAACAAATCAAAGCGCTATTTACATATAGTTTTATTATGTTTATTTTTTTATCATTTATCAATATAAAATACTATAATTAATTGGATGGTGGAGGTGGAGAAAACAAAGTACGTCAATATTCAATAATTTTATACTTAATTCATAGCAACTACACCTATATTCTTAAACCATATTAATAAGTAAAATAACGATATCATACCCAATAATTCTGGACTAATATTTAAATACGTATTTAAACGGAGTGCCTTATGTCGCAGACTTTTTCCTTTTATTCATGATTGATTCCATTACCAAAATAAATATCAGTTGTATGAATAGTGATAAGAGTAGAAAATATCAATAGTATTATTAATAATTATTATAATTACTTTTTGGTACAAAATACGTTACAATTACAACTTTCAATTTATAATTGCCAGGCGACCCGCGACATAGGTATATAAAAGACAGATTGTATGTTTATAGTTTATTTATACTTTATAAGTTTATAGTTTATACTCTTCACTCTGTCTATGATTGCCAAAATGCCCGTAGACTGAGAATACTTTAAGGGGCATTTAACGTGATGCACAACGAAAATAAAGTGAGGTTGTGAAAATTGTTCATACTCTGATCAGTTATAGTTCTAGAGGACATGGATGTGCAACTACATTATTTTTTTCGTATGAGGCTTTATTGCCGAGTTATGAGCTTTTAAAAATTTACAAAGTATGAAATCCGTACTTTTTGAATGCTTATTATTTGTATCAATCAATTTGTAAAACTATCTAAAAGATATCGTTTCTGAAAGTTAAAAGAATGCAGTTTTTTTTTTTTACCGAATTACAAATTTGTTTCTTTTTACATATAGTAAACTGGAAGTGAAAATTTCAAATGGATGTTTGAGTAGCTTCTACATAATTTTTTTTTAATATTTTAACTTTGAAGTAAAGCTTTGAATATCTTAATTCTTCACAAAAGAATTATAACATGATCGCCAATACTCAATAGTTTAGTACTTAGGACATATTGAGTACATGCACATCGCTAGGAGAATTTTCGTAGAAGTCATGTTTATGAGTTAACATGCTAAAATACTATGCTGTTACCATTTTTTTCTTTCATTTTAACATCCATAAATATAAAAATATACGAAATTAATTTCTTTTTTAAATAAAAATGATTAACAATACAAATATTTGTTATAAAATAGTATGAACTTAAGTTCATATAAAGGTGTCATATCCGAAACGATAAGATTATGAACGCCATCTCGAAGCAAAAAGAATTACTAAGAAATAGATTAGCTATAGTCGATACTTGCTAGAAAGGGATAATCTGTTATATTATAAACAAGATTTTAACAAAGAAGCACAGTTACACTTTCATGCCACAGCTCATGGAAAAGGGCCATGTGATGGTCTTGGCGGAAATCTTAAACGTCTGGCAACACGTGCCAGTTTACAGTCTACCAACAAAATTATCATTATTACCTACCTCGTCTGTCGATCGACCTTTTAAAGGTCGATGTCAAAAAAACCCCTGTCTGTACTCAAGCGACCTTTTAAAGGTCGATTGGTCCCGATGTGATTTAACGTGTGATTTCTCGCATTTAAACTATATTTATTTTTATCTAACTTTTGTAACGTGTAAAGAAAAATACAAGCAATAATATCATACTACATATCAAAAAAGTAATAACTCCAATAACATAATTTTTTGTAATTTGTGCAGACAATTTATTTAAATTTTGGCGGTCTTCGAACTCAATACTTGTGTTATTAAGCTTGTAAACTCCTGCATCTTGTAGAGGGATGTGGCACTTGACAGGTGGTAAGAACTGACTAATTTTCTTTGGCGGCTTGAAGTAGGTTTTAATTGAAGCTCGCTTTAGAATGTAGCCAATCTTGTCAGTGACTCCTTTCATGTATGGCAAGACTGCAGGGACGCGCTCGACTGTGGCTGGTTTCACTTGGTCACTGTGACGCAGGCGCGGCACTTGCAGCTTGTTGTCACGCAGAACTTGCTTGACATGTTGCAGTTCTCCGGCGTTGCATTATGTAACAACAAGCTTGATTGTGATTGTGGGCTCTCTTACATTGGACAAACAAAGCGATCCATTAGAACCCGGGTCAAAGAACACATAGCTGATGTGAAGCACCGTCGCAATACAACATCTGCTGTCTGCAAACATAGCCAGGACCGCCCAAGCCATTATATTCGTTTCGATAGACCTCAAATCCTGGCGAAAGAAAACCGATATCGCCCTAGAATGATTCGAGAAGCCATAGAAATTAAAAAACATCCAAATTTCAATAGGGAAGATGGCTGGGTACTACCATCGTCATGGGATCCTGTTATTAATATAATAAAATCAAATAATAAATATTAACATAACAGACAGGCAGATGTAGTAAGTTCATACTGTGTAGATCAAAATGACAGCTTATCAGATTAATATTTTTCATTTTTCATTAGTAAAAGTATATATTAATAGTGTTGCTTAGTAAGTTGTTTTTAAATAATAGCAAACTAAATTAAAATTATTATCCTTAATTAATTTTAACTTTTTAAATTACACATAGAACAATTATATGGCTTAAATAATTATTACTATATTTAATATTTTTCTTTATGGTTATAAATATAATAATGGCAACACTAAATATAGATTACTAATTAATATTTTAAAATTGTAATAATTATAAAATAATAGCAAAAATTAAAAAAATAATTTTCCATATTCAATTATAATTAAAATTATAAAAATGTTTAAAGTTAAAAAATATTGTAATGTAATTGGTGCAATTTTCATTTTGTTAATTGTGGGTAGGCTGTCTGTAACAACTATACATTCAAGACATGTAACACCTCAGTCCAAAGAGTATAGTTATCCTCAGTCTCTCCCGTGACCATGGATGCTGTAAAGGATTCGTAACGTCGGGAACCATAAATCAAAATAAATCCGCGAAATAATCCGAAAAGATAGTTTTATTTAATAATGTCAAACATTCGCGTAAATCTAAGAAAGTATTATCAATACTTGTGAGTAAAAAATTAATAAAATAGTGTAAAATTATTAGTATAAGGATTGGAATATGATGAAAGGGTAAGTAATTAACAGTTTTTATTTCATAGAATGTGTATTGAATAAAGATTTTATACAGAAATTGTTATATTTGTCAAACATCGTAATCATTCACGCGCGCTAAGTCCTTATATTTTCAATTTTTCTGAATAAAAAATACACTAGCGAAAGCATGATATTTTTATTAACATGATTTAAATTTATAACTAAAAAACTACGTATAATTGAATTTGTAAATTTTCTATTGGATTTTAAGTAATTATTAATATAATAACACGTAACCCAAATTCGAGTCGCCATTTTTGACGGCTGTTGGATTAGTATGGGGAAGGCTTTTTTAATATTCATTAGAATATTCTGATTGATGTTTTTTTAGCACTATTTGAAAATTAGTATTTTATAAAATTATTTTAACTGTTTTCCTACAAAAAACTTTTTAACAAAAAAATAAAAACCGACTTCAAACAAAAGCACTAAAAAGTAAAAAATAACTGATTGGTAGTTTTCATTTACTATACATACCTAATCAAATATTTTCGAAGTCGGTGTGCTTTGCTTTGTATGGGCTGGCTCCGATTTCGAAAATATTTGATTAGGTATGTATTTAATAGGTAGGCTTTAATTACTTAGCCAAAGCACACCGACTTCGAAAATATTTGATTAGGTATGTATAGTAAATGAAAAGTACCAATCAGCTATTTTTTACTTTTTAGTGCTTTTGTTTGAAGTCGGTTTTTATTTTTTTTGTTAAAAAGTTTTTATTTTTCCCTTTTTAGTGTAGACAGTAGTAGCACAGTAAGAATTCTAACGTGTTAGGCTTGTCAAATCAAACGAAATAAGCCCAAACTCAAAGTATCTACTATTAGCCGTTGAAGAGTTCCACCTATCCACCTTCTGGCCTTGCCATCAGATCAGGTCAACAACACCGAACCACTGTACTATCAACGGAAATAGAAATCCTTGCAAAGTTTCAAGTCAATATGACAATTAGAAGTAGGTTAAATTCATCATTCGTTGTTTTTCCACCCTTAGGGGTGGTATTTTGTTTTTTAATTTAAATGGGACCAATCTGAAACTATACCCTTTCAAACAAAACAAAAATTTTCCAAATCGGTTAATAAATGACGGAGTTCTAAGGTAACAAACATAAAAAAAAACATACAGTCGAATTGAGAACCTCCTCCTTTTTAAAGTCGGTTGAAAAATTGATTTTTTTAAAACAGAACGATTTTTATTTTACAGATATAAGTTCAACTTACACATTACTTTAAAACATTATAAAAATAAAAAAACCTAACTGCATAACAGCTAACTAAAAAGATGAAAACAAGTTGACGAAGGAATAAAGTATTATGCAGTTGGTGACATATATATATATACATCTCGCGACAAGGATGAAACGTATTTTTTTATTAACAGCTTTTTAATTTTATTAGACATTTGAAGTTATAATAAGTCTTTTGAAATTGCCGTTCTACAATACTTATTGGCCATTGGAAAATTAATTTATGAATGGCCGGCAATAAAGTCCAAATTCAAATGAATTTTATTTTAAAAGTATGGAGTTCTATTTTTGAATTCAGTCGTTTGTTTATTAATTAGTGTTTTGTTTTCACTACATTTGTTTTTCATCAATATGAACACAATAAAAATACGAGTAATTATGAAATACAAGTTCCATCGCGGTAGCAATCTCGCACAAACGGCTCGCAATATTAATGACGTGTACGGAGTGCTGAGTGAACACTACAAACGAACGCACGACTCGTTATTGGTCTGAACGCTTCCAACATCGAAATTTTGATCTTAAAAAATTACCCCGTGGTCGCCCGAAAACTAAAATCAGTAACGACGCATTAAAGGCGATAGTGGAAGCTGACGATACTCAATCTGTGGCTGAGATAACAGCAGCTTTCAACGTTAGCATCAAAACAATATTGGTCCATTTGCATCAAATTGCATCAATAGCATGGGTGCATATTTTAATTAATAGAAATGAAAAATATTTATAAAAAAATATACTTTAACTTTCTGTATATTTAACGACAATTTCATAGGTATAACCTAATATTTAGCAATTTCTTATCCCAAATTACCTATAAACATGTAAGTTGTGTTCTATTAAATCTTTTTGTGATCACGAAAAATCTTTATTTTAAGACCCCATTCGATTGATTTGGAAGATTTTTTTACAGACACACAAATTGGCGCCTGATATCCGCCATTTTAATTTTAACTATTTTTAATTTTTAACTATAACGCGAGTATCATAGGCTATATACAGATTATGACACTCGCGTAAATACGAAACTAACGACATATGAATCATCAAAATTAGCCCACGCGCTTGGTTCCTAGAGTGCTACTAAGGAAAAACATACATATGTACATACATACATACATACATAGACTGATAAACACATTACCCTCCTTTGCGTTGCGTTGTCGGGTAAAAAATAAGTTTATTTGCATCTCTTACACTTGTATCATGTTGCATTTTATGTTTATTGTAGCTGCACCAAAATTGCTTTAAACATGCCTTATTAGATTACAATATTATGATCGGTGGGGTGAACAAGAAAGACCAATTGTAGGCAATGTACCCCATAGAGCGGAAGCGAACAAGGGTGTAGTATAAATAACTATTTATAAAAACTTAAAAAAATATATAAACCGACTTCCAGGCACTAAAATGTAAAAAATAGCTAAACGGAGGTTTTCATTTAGAATAGATACCTAATCAGATATTTTCGAAGTCGGTGCCAGCCGACAATATTTTAAGATATGAATATCTAATAGGTAAATATATGTTTTACGGATCGAAATATATTAGATGTGCTTTGCATCGGCTGGCACCGACTTCGAAAATATCTAATTTATATATTACACCACGCCTTTGTTCGTTTTGACTATGTGACTGAACATCGAAGACGTGCTGAACATTATATGGGAGGAGGTTAGTATAGCTACGTATTTATTTTTACTTAGTGATAATTAGTATTTGTTGCTTTTAGGGTAGGTGCTCATCTTTTTTTTTCAATTAAAAAAATATGTATAAAAGCTTGTGCCTGTCAGCAATATTCATTAAAAAGTGTCCTTTAACAAAAGGCATCCAAAATTTTCAACTTCAGATTTAAAACATCTGTGAGTACTAATTACAAAATGTTTATACTCTACTATATATTTTTTTACTACTATAACTATGGAGTCCATTATATACTCAATACAGTAACTGGCACAATACTTCAATCTTATAAAATATAGATTAAAAATTTAAAAGTAACCCCGACATGTAATTCGCCATTTTGTGGCGGCGGCCATCTTGGATTTAAAATTTATCGTAGTGTGTATTATACTAGTCAACCCTAATTCATTTGATACCCATATTGAGGGAGTTGTGAAAAATATGTAAACCTCTATTTTGTGGTGACAGCCATCTTGAACCAATTTTCATCAAACATAGCTAAGAACACTTCCGAATAATTCACCTTTCAAAGAAAAAACAAAATCGCATCATCTCTTCCGGAGCTACTATGCCACAGACAGACAGACACACACACACACACAGACACACACAGCACATCAAACATATAACTCCCCGTCGTTTTTGCGTTGGAGGTTAAAAACAGTTGAAAAAAAAATAATTCCTATCCGAATTAATATTTGAAGTTGTTTTATTTTGTATTGATGTTTTTATTATCATTTTATTTCCATAACATAATCTGTTCAGATGTGATGGAATTGGTCGTATCCATACTTTTTTAGCAGTCCCTTGTAATTCTTATAGTGAAATTGTTAGTTTTCAGAATTGATTTCTGAAATATTCTAATAAGGCAACATGTCTTTTTATTATATTTTTCTAATTTTAAATATCACTACATTGTAAGATATTCATATATTTTAATGAAAATTTAAACAGAATTTGCTCTGCGATCCAAAGTTTGAGATGACGTTTGTTAGTACTTATTTTAAAGTGTTTGGTTTATTGTTTAATTCTCGTAAACTAAATAGTTATAAGAACTCAAACTATGTCAGTATAATGTATGTAGACTAAACTATAATATAAATGATTATCCTAAATCTCTTGATCTTCAATGCTCTCAGAATTAAAGTATAAAAAATACCTCTTTTATCCGGCGCTAAGTCGCTATGATTGAGACATGTTATTGTAAAAGCTTGTGGTGTAAAAAAATGTACAGTGAGTTGTGTTGTTTTAATCAATTAATATAAAATATTGTATCTATTATTAAATGAAATTATAAGTTTTTAAAATAATAGTTTTATTTTGTAATAATTCCTGTTTTCATACTATATACTGATAATAAAACACTTTCAGTATTTCAACTTAGAATTAACTATGTATTAATGAATACAATTGAACTTATTTATATATATATTCTTAGTTTATTTTAAAACGATTCTAACGATATAAGCTTTATATATAGCCTATACATAACATTTTTAAGAAATATTGTTATTTTAATGATGCGTACATATTTCGCGCAGGCCCTCGGAAAGTAGCTGACAGATGCGCCATATTCTTGTAAAATGACAGCGACAGTTGAGGGGTTAAAAACCTGTTTTTTTAATCTGTACCGATATACGGCCTCACTCTTAGAAAATACTAAATAGAAATTAATAGAAGATAACGTTTTTTTCCCTTTACGTATTACGGTATTATATTAACGAATAAACATAAATATATTTTATAATAAATCTCTGTGCCAGGACTACTGACACGAACAATAATAAATATGAATATCTGATAGCGGTCGATAATTTAACTAATTTCCGCTTAATGTAATATATAACCTACCTACAACATGGATGGTGTAAATTACCTACAACGTGATGGTGTAATACGAAGTATTGTAGTAAAAAATTTCTTATGTCATAAATATTTAAAAGTCGATTTTGAGAAAAGCATTAAATTTATAGTTGGTCACAATGGTTCTGGTAAAAGTGCTATCCTCGATGCTTTGATTTTGGGTTTAGGCGGCAAAGCATATAACACTCATAGATATGGTCAAATCAAATGTAAGTTATTTAAATTTCTGTACCTATTATAACTTAATTATAGATAATGTTCATGTTAAATGTAAGTTTACCTGATAGTTTATATAACTGTATTGCATATACTTATTTATACTATGGTAGAAACATTGTGAGGTTCAATAAATTTTAGTATTTATTAAATCTCAGTCTAAAATTATTGTGCTTATAGTTATTTTTTTTTTAGCCTATGTTCAAACTGGTGCAGAATTTGCTTCTATTCAAATAAAAATAAAAAATGATGGTCCAAAAGCATACAAATACAATGAATATGGAAGGTATATTACAATCATCAGGGATATTACACACACTGGTGATTCAACCTATAAAGTGAAGTCGGCATCAGGTAGATTAATATATTTTTAAGGAAAAAAGAAAATTGTCCTCCTGTATCTGCCATGCTTGTTGAAACATTATTTCAACATGCTTTTTATAGCTACAGTTGTAATTATGTTACAATTTATTCATATCTTTGAAGTTCTTTTTTTTTTACTATTCTTTATTGCACTTAAAAAAATCAATACAGTAATTTAAAAATAGTTGTTATTTACAAAGGTGGACTTATCTCTAGAAGAAATCTCTTCCAGCCAACCTATGGTAGTGAGAAATAGTGTTACAAAGTGGGCTAAATTCGTGCAGTCGTACTTTTTTTTTTTTTTTAAATAATATATATAATAACATATAATATACACTACTTACTATACCATACATACTTATGTACATATATACATACACACTACTACTTACATAAATACATATCTATATAATACAATACATAATAATAGTAATTAAGTTACTTTTTGATTTAATTGAGTGCTGTTTTTTTTTTGAAAGAATCAATAGAGGGACTAAGTTGGATTTCTTTAGGAAGTTTGTTCCAGAGCAATGCGCCATACACCGAAAAAGAATGCAAGAGGAACTTTGTGTTGCTCTTGGGTATATCGAGCGTCGCAGTGATGCAAGGCCGCCTGGAATGTGAAGGAGTAGGGAGTATTTGAAAACGAGAACGGAGGTATGAAGGAGAATTAGGGTCATTAAGAATATTGAAAAGGAACGAAAGGATGTGCATATCACGGTGAAGGCGGATTGGGAGCCATTTAAGTTGAGCACGAAAGTTTGATATATGGTCATGCTTACGCAAGCCAAAAATAAAGCGTATAGCGAGATTTTGGAGACGCTCTAATTTGTTTAGTTGCTCCTCAGTCACATCTAAATAACACACATCGGCGTAGTCAAGTATGGGGAGAAGGAGTGATTGAGCTAGCATAATCTTGGTTGTGAAAGGGAGAAAAAATTGGAGATGTTTGAGAGAGTGGAAAGTGTGATGCATTCGTTTGCTGACCTTTTGACATGAGCTACCCAGGTCATGTTACAATCCATTATTAGGCCCAAGTTTTTCACTCTATTACAATAAGGGATTGGAACGCCAGAGAACTGGACTTGAGGTAGTGAGTTCCAGTCGATTTTGCACCTCAGTCTGCTGCTGCCAAAAATTATACATTGTGATTTGGTGGGATTCACAAGAAGGCCGAAAGACTCTGCCCACGACTGAACTTTAACAAGGTCCGAGTTTAATGCACCAATAGCCTCATGCAACTTGGTCAGCTCAAAGTGTCGGTATAACTGTAAGTCATCTGCATACAGATGGAAGGGAGAAGAAATGACTTTTGATATGTTATTAATAAAGATAGAAAACAGTAAAGGGGAAAGTACGCCGCCTTGAGGTACACAAGCAGTAAGATCTAACCAATCCGATGATGTATCGTTAGTTTTCACGCACTGCTGACGTCCGAATAGGTAAGAGTGAAACCAGTCTATAACAGTAGGAGAAATTTTGACCGCGCGGAGAGTTCCAATAAGAATGTCAAGGTCAACTGAGTTGAAAGCACTGCTGAAAACTAGCAGCACCATCGCGGTGAGCTTGGTGTTATCCATTGTGTGACGAATATCCTCTGTAATATTCAGCAGTGCCCCAACCGTGCTGTGGGAAGAGCGGAATTCGGACTGAAAAGGGCATAAGAGGTTATTGAGAGACAGATAGGAGTAAAGTTGGTTGTGAGCCAAGAATTCTATGACTTTGGATAGGATAGGAAAGATCGATATAGGACGGTATTGAGTGAGGCACGTAGGATTCGAGGACTTAGGTAGTGGTATAACGAAGGCTTTCTTCCATAATGACAGGAAGACATTACTTGTGAATGAAAAGTTAATAATGTGAGTAATCACAGGTGCAATATCCTCCAGTACCAGAAGCACCATGTCAAAGCTGAGGTCGTCACTACCGATGGCTTTAGTGGAAATAGAGCGGACACACTTCTTTAAATCATCTACTGAGACTGTTTCAAAGACGAATGGTGGTATGTCGGGGGGAGCAAGGTTCGATAAGAATGAAAGTGTTTTAGTTTTTGTATGCGAATCTTAAGTGATGGGGGGAGTGGTAAAATGATAGTTTAAAGCATTTTAACCTATTTCTAATTGTATTATCTATTTGAAACTTTGTATTATATATGTATATAATTGCATTTCATAATTAATTGCTATTTTTAATTATAATTAGTTTTATGAGGTTTACAATAGGTCATAGTTTATTAAAACTATAAGTTAATTTTATTTTAGATAAAGTTATTTCAAATAGACGTTCAGCAGTGGATAGCATCTTGCTGGCACACAATATACAAATGGACAATCCGGTGTCAGTACTACCTCAAAAAGTTACAAAGGAATTTAATGATCTCAGTGATGACAAAAAATATCTTTTTTATAAAAGAGCCACTAATCTTGCTCTAACAGAAGAAAATTATGATAAGGCTTTAGAGGATTGTTCCAAAGCTAAACAGATATTGAATATTAAAAAGAAGGTAAGAATAGTCTTTGGTCTTCTCACAATCCTCGCAAGGGGAGTGGCGTGATGGCTTCAGGGCATAGTTCTTTGGCTGAAGGCTCTTCCGGCGTCCACTATTACGAGCGCGTCTCTGAGAGGCCCATCCAAAGGGTGTCAGGCGTCAGAGTGATAAGAGTAGCATAATTTATTATACATTTTATAACAATTTTGGTGGTGAAAAATTTCAATTTTAAGTAGTCTTTCTTTGAATAAAAACTTGTTTTAAAAAGTTTTTTGTTTCAAGTTTAAAAAAAAATACAATCAAGTAGATTAATCATCACAATTTTCACAATATTCTTTTTTCTGTTTTACCCACAAAGTTACAATAATAAGTTAAATAAATGAAAATCCTATCACTATTCAAATTTTTGATTTTTAAAGTGAGTGTGGCTTCTTTGTTTGAGATTGTGTGCATAGTTATTCACAGTAGTTTCCTTGCCAGGTCTGAACTGAATGATACAAAAGTTCAAGTTTAAAATTTAAAAATCCCCTGTTCATCTTGGACCTATTTTCATCAAACAGCTAAGAACACTCCTGACTAATTCACCTTTCAAACAAAAAAAAACTAAATCGGTTCATCCGGCCGGGAGCATTGTAGCTCTTTTAGCCACAGACAGACACACACACACACACATACACGTCAAACTTACAAAACCCCGTCGTTTTTACGTCGGGGGTTAAATCCATCTTTCGGATTATTTCGCGGATTTATTTTGATTTTTTGCCCGACCTTTCGAATGTTCTACAGCAATCGTGGTCACGGGAGAGACTTAAGGTTTTAGACGTCTCAAATGCATTATATAGTTGTTACAGACAGTGCCTACCCACAAAATGAAATAAAAAATGATTTTTTTTTAATTTTAACTTTGTAAATCTAAGAAAATATTATGTGAACCAGCAGAGACTGGAAGTAAGCTTGAAAATCTCTAGGGAGGCATGTGTCCACCAAATAGCAATGGACGACTTTCAACTGTTAATTAGGCTACTAAGCTTCGGCAATACTTTTAAGTAATTAGAAGAGATAAGAGACATGTTACATTTTTTTATATTATTTCAGACATGTGAAGATTATGAGGACGAATTAAGAAAATGGGAAAAAATAATGGCGAACATAAACGCAAAAGAAAAAAATAGAGTAGAAAAAATGGAATTGGACAGGGAGTTAAAGTGGAGTACAATTCGTAAATGGGAATATGAAGTGAAAAAGAGAGAAAGAGATTTCGAACGGAAAAATGAGGAATGGTTACGTAACGATAGGAAGATTAACCGCCCTTTAAATATCGATGACAGCTCTTTAAAGTATGAATATTTTTTATTGATTTTTTATAACAAGTATATAAAATTTATGTATGTATATGATATATTCATTCATTTACAGTTTAAAGCTGTTTTATATAATACTAGCGGACCCGACAGACGTTGTCCTGTCTACACGTCTTTAATTTGAAATTTAATAAGCTAAAACATTCTGGACCATTTTGATGAAAATTATTATTCAAATTGTGAATCTAAACCATTCCCAGATCCCCTTGAACACACACAAAAAATTTCATCAAAATCGGTCCAGTCGTTTGAGAGAAGTTCAGTGACATACACACTCACAGAAGAATTATATATATAAAGATATGATAGTTAAAACATTTTTTGTCTAATAAGTTATAATGAGTATATAGTGGAATGACAATATGAATCAATTCGAATGGCCATGTTGATCCTGTCCAAGTGGCTAGCTTGTATGGCTATTTATTGTTCAATTTTAATGGTCAGTAAATTAAAAGAAACATGCTGTTTGTTTAACATAATCAACCGACTTCAAAAAGGAGGAGGTTCTCAATTTGACTGTATTTTTTTTTGGTCTTTGCTTTTAAGTATTTTTCTTAATATAGTAATCCTTATTTTCTTTATATTATATATTTTTTATGTAAACAATGATAACAAATCTCTAGAACTGCAGTATTTCCATAAAATAAAAGTATCATGATAGTTTGGCTCGTTTGGTCACCAATAGCTAGGATTGACACTCGCGCCGCACGTAACTGTCAAATGTCAATCAATACCCTACCCGTGCACCCATTATAAACATAGAGAGTGGACTCTTTCTTTGTCAGCCGTCAGCTAAAAATGGCGGAAAGGTGCGACAAAGACAAAACGAATATGCGACAAGAAGTCTTCTGTATTAGTTGAAATATGATTAATGAAGATAGATATTTATAACCATTGTATTTCTATCACACTGCGTTATATATTTTTTATATTCCATTTATAAATTCAAACTAAATAATATAAAGACAGATACGTATTGACGTTCGCTTTCTCTATTTCTAGAGAGTGGTCGGTTTCTTGTGAGTATCGCACAGTCCATTCTCTACGTCTATGCGTCTCGTGTGCATCCGAGACGTCACTACCCATTAAATACACAAACTTGAAGAATGTTATTGATTTGAACTATTTTTTTTCGTCTTTATGAAACCTCATACCTAGTTAATTTTGGAAATTATTACGTCAGTAAAACTTTCTACGTGTCCAACTCCAAATCTGGGTTCGCTTTCCTTCAATCCCTATAGAACATTTTCTTTTGAATCTGCAAGTCTCTATATTGCTAACTAGCGGTTTACCCTCGCTTCGCTCGGGCCTCGGGTTTGTCCCTAGGTACGTTTTATTGGTTAGTATGGAATAGATAGACTATATATTATAATATGATATATAGCCTAAAGCCTTCCTCAATAAACGGGCTATCTAATGCGCAAATTTTTTTTCAAATCGGATTATTAGTTCCTGATATTAGCGCGTTTTGACAAATAAACAAACTAATCTGCCTCTTTAGATATTAAAATATAGATTAATATAGATTCTATCATACATTTGACGTGTAAGCTGAATAGTGATAGATAATATAGCAAACGTACAAAATTAAGGACATTTACGAGAACAAACTATTAAGATAAGATAATTGCATTGATTATATATGAAAATTAACCATACATACATACACTATTATCTAACAAGTATCTCTTCAAAAGGTGGCGAAAGTTCTAATTGTCTAAACTCAAATTCGAACTTACGTACACCACTTAAAGTAGTTTTAAAAGCAATCGACAAAAGAGATTTGAAAATATGTAGCGCAATTCAATTTTGAATCGTGAAGAACTTTTGAGGACACTTTTGAGACGCTCAATTGTGTATATTGAGTTCTCTATATACAATATAATAATCCATAAATATGTTAGTATATTTAATAAGAATTTTAATAAATTAATAAATATATTGGGACATTAACACACAGCACCATCTAGTTCCATGGTAAGCTACGAGGCTTGGCTTGTTATGGATACCAGACTACACAAATATAACTTTAAATACCTACATATTATAAATATAAACATCCATGACTGGAGTACAAACATTCGTGCTCATCACACAAATAAATGCTCCCAGCGGGACTCGAACCCGCGACAGCTTGCACAGCAAGTAGGGTTACTACAAACTGAGCCACACGCGTCGTCCACTTTATTTGCTACTTTTATTTTAGAAAAAGAATTAAGGGTTCCGCTAAAAAAAACGTATCTAAGGACGCCCCCGAGTGAAGGTAGAGTCATCTAGTTATGAATAAAATATGACCATTTTATTGAATGGTGCTTAAAAATCGTAATGTTACATGTTAAGAAATGTTCACAAATAACATAAATAAAAATATGTAATGTACTTTTTACAGTGAATTAAAATGTAAACTAAAAAATGAAATTGATGAAAGAACTAAATTGGAAAATGAGAAAAAGGAACTTGATAATAAGGTTTCAACAAATAAAAGAAAACTTGACGATATTCAGGAGTCTAAAAGAAAAATATCTAACATTATTGCAAGGGAGGAAGAAAAGATTAAAAAATTTAATGGACAAATACAAGACATCATGTGAGTGAAAGATCTTACTATTAATTTTATATATCTACTAGTAAATGAATTTAGCCCTTTTTTACATCCCACTGCTGGGCGTGGGGCTCCCTTCAATACGAGGGGGATCAGGCCATAGTCCACCACGCTGGCCATGTGCATTTAATCTAAATCGGTTCAATAGATCCAGAGATTACCCCCCACAACGTCACAAACTCATGAACTACCTCTTTTATTAGTATAGATTGGAAAACGGGGTATGTTCACAAGTGGAGGTCTGGCGATTTATATGATGAGATGACAGACCCCCCTCGTCTGTCGAGTGATAGATGATGCGTGTTCAGGTCAGGGTCTGCAGCCCAGCGTCACCAGGTGGCGGTGGAGCGCGTAGAGGAGGCCCGCGAGCTGGTAAAGGAGACGCGCGCGCGCCTCGACACCGCAGCAGTGGACGCGGCCAATGCCGACGCGGAGTGCGAGCGCGCCCGCCAGCTGCTGCACACAGCGCAGGCGAACTACCAACGCCTGTCAGAGAAGTTGGGTGTGTATTGGATTACCACAGTGTAAAAATACATAGTAATATCCCCCCTTGATTTTGACAGCTGTCAAATGTGCTAATAACGCAGTCTAGTAATCCTTCTGCTCGACGCGTTGGCGAGAAATCTTTATTGGAACATGAAAGAGCATTTAAGTTATGTACGACAGTAGTTTGTAAATCCGGCCGCACATTATAAGATTTTTTCTGTCTACAAACTTCTGAACGCCGGAAGGCACTCTGCTCAAATATATTGCGGAAAAACTAATATAATCCTTATCTTTAATACGTCTCTAGTTAAGGGTAGCTTTCCTGATAAGTGGAAGGAAGCGAGGTTAGTCCCCATTTTTAAAGACGGCAATAAAGAATCGGTGTTTAACTACCGGCCTATATCGATCCTGTCGACTATGTCGAAGATTTTCGAATCGCTTGTACATCCATTTATTTTTAACCATGTTAAATGTCATATATCATCCTATCAGCATGGATTTATGCCCAGGAGATCCACAAATACAAATTTACTTAATTATGTTTCTGATCTTGTTAATGCAGTAGATATGAATTTCCCGGGGGAGAAGCCAACTCCTACCGGGCGCGTCCCCAGGTGGCGGATAGGGGAATGCCACCCGCTTAGGGCGGCGGGTGGTACCGGAGAAATCCGGCGCGGACCAAATGGCTTGGATGGGGCCGCTCGTCTAGGCCTCAAGCCGAAGACGTTGCGGCCACCGGTGGTGGGACCGCTTGGTCCCACAACCGGATGATGGGTGCCGGTTGCGGGACTGTGGTCGCAGGCCCGCATCCGGCGGAAGAGTAGGCCGCGGCGGGAGAGGAGTGCCGGTATTTCGGTGCGCCGTTCTCCCTACCTTCCGCGGCCTAGACGGGGCCGCCACCGTTCGATGGCGGACGCGGTGGGGCTGCAGGGGAAGAGGAGTGTCGGTGTTACGTTGCCGCTCTCCCTGTCCTCTGCAGCCGATTGGAGGTGGCCCACTTCGGTGGGCGGTGGTTAGGTTAAATGGGGCTGCTCCGGGTACCTCTCTGGCGTAGCAGAGTTGACTGTGGAGCAGCCCCATTGGTTTGGTGGTCTGCCTTTTTAGGCAGACCTGCCGCCGGGGCGCCGTAGTAGTTATGCGCAAGCGATCCTGCGGCGTCCCATTAAGGCGGAGGGGAGGGGAATGTCGGGTTTTAGTGGGTAGTACCGGCTCTTCTAGCCGGTGAGCCCCACATCACCACCTGGGGGATCAGGTGGTATGCGTAAATGCATTTCCCGACATAAAAAAAAAAAAAAGTAGATATGAATTTGCAAGTGGATGCTATTTATACAGATTTTTCAAAAGCATTTGACATGGTTGATCACACGCTTCTTATAGGAAAGCTATCTTTGCTTGGAGTATCTGATTCTTTATTGTCTTGGTGTAAAAGTTATCTTCACAATCGTCAATGTACAGTAGTAATTGATGGGGAAAAATCCGATAGCTTTCAGGCTCTTTCGGGGGTACCACAGGGATCAAATTTGGGACCTCTCTTTTTTATTATATTTATTAATGATATAGCAAGAGTATTCAATAATTGACACGTTTATATGTTTGCTGATGACATCAAAATTGCAAAAGTAATAAGGCAAAAGTCGGACATAAATGATCTTCAAGCTAATCTCGATAGACTTGTTGAATGGTGTAATCAGAATAGCATGTCACTCAACCCCAACAAATGTAGTTTTATTAAGTTTACAAGGAAAAAGCACCCAATTATGAGTTCATATACTATTATGAACACAACATTAAAAAATTCTGACCAGATTCGGGATTTGGGAGTTATTTTCGATAGCCAACTTAGGTTTGATAAACATATAAACTCAATAGTAACTGCCGCATTTAGATCACTCGGTTTTATTCTAAGACAGTTCAGAGACTTCAAAAAAGCTTCAACTATTATACACTTATATAACAGCATGGTCAGGAGCAAATTAGAATATTGTTGTCAGGTTTGGTCTCCTACTTCTAAAACCTATATTACTAGAATTGAACGAATTCAAAAGAAATTGATTAAACACCTGAAATTCCGTTTCAAAACTACAGGACTTTCTGAATCATATGAAAACAAACTTACTTTTTTCAAAATGAAGCCATTAGTTACACGTAGATCTCTTCTTGAACTTAAGCTCCTATATAATATCTTTAATGGTAAAATCGATGATGAGAAGCTGTTAGAGAGGCTCAACATTAATGTTCCTAGAAGGCCACCTCGCTACCCATGTCCATTATTTAAAACTCATAAATGTCGCACTAAGTTAGGTGGTAATGCTCCGTTATCACGTATCACACGATCATACAACAACTGCGTAAAGCGCATGACATCTTTGGACATTGGTTGTGATGGGCTCTCACAATTTATAAAAAAATGTGAAAAGTGTATTTTATAAGTTTTATAGGTTTAACAGTAGTTTCTTAATGTAATTGTTAAGTTTAATTTAATTATTGTTATTTTGTTTCTTTTTGTAACTGTATCCATTTTATTGTGTTTATTATGTATATTTAGGCATTATAAAACACTGTTTTTTTTTGCGAATGATGTGTTCTCCTATAATTAGTAATACATAAATATAAATTAGATTTAGGTAGCTATATTGTTAATGAAAAAATTATGTATACTGTTGGAGATCCATATAAGTAAATAAATAAATAAATAAATAAATAAATAAATAAATAAATAAATAAATAAATAAATAAATAAATAATAATGGTTTGTTTTTGGATAGGGCGGATGTCGAACAAAGAGCGCGAGCTGCAGCGCAACGCGGGCCCGCTGTCCAAATATGGCGCTTACGCGACGCGGCTTCACGAGCGCGTGCTCGCCGCCGCGGCCGCCAACCGCTTCCGCAGACGGCCGCTCGGACCCGTAGGTACGTAGTGTGTGCATGGCTCGGAAATCCGTTCAATTTTTAAACCGGTTTCATTCTTTTACCCGCACTCTTGCTAATCTTCTTGATCGTCTACCGAGTTAAAAACACCGATTAAAAGATCTGTTTTTTTTGTAATATTAATTTTTAATTACCTATTTTATGCTGTTAAAATTGCAGCGTGCCTAAAATATTTTTTTTTTGGAATTTATTTAAAAACAAGAAATTTGAAAATGCCCGGCCAAACTTTTTAACCGACTAAATGATCTGGCTTTATTATTTTTAAACTCTTTGATAATAAAATAAAAGATACAAAAGTTTCAAAAATCTAAAATAATTTTTTTTTGGAAAAAGATTGATTACTTTGAAAATTTAAGGATGCCAAGGCAACCGCTATCCTCCAGCCCGACTTGCACTTTTATACCTGCCTATGATTAAAGAACTGTAGTTAAAATTCTCATCTTGCCTAAAATACCTGCTCTAAAATGCTAGCCAGCTCTCGGACTATTACTCATAAAATACTATTTGAATATAAAATTTCTTATTTCTATTGATTTCATTCATTCATCATTTTTACCTTAAAAAATGACGTGAAAAATTATACTCAAATTGGGTATGTCTTTCGTGTGAATGTTGCCATTTAAAAGTAATTATTTAATACTAGCGACTTACTCTCCCTTCGCTCGGGTTCGTTTCTAAGTTGATTCCCCATACAAACTTTCATCCCCATTTACACCCCCTTAAGAGATGATTTCCGGAATAAAAAAATATCCTCCTTCCCAGGGTCTCGAACTATCTTCTTACCAAATTTTATCTAAATTGGTCCAGTCGTTTTTGAGTTTATTCATTACAAACATACAAAAATATAAATCTTTCCTCTTTATAATATTATAGTGTAGACGAACCGTTTAAAAACTGCAATTATTATAATGTTTGTTTGACAGGCGCATATTTATCGGTGAGGAACGAGATATGGAGTTCCGCTCTGGAACACATCTTAGGTCATGCCATTGAAAGCTATTGCGTCGATAATTCTCAAGATTACGAGACGCTCAAAGCTGTCATAGATGAAGTAAGTAATATTAATTACAAGTTTGGTTAAAATCGGCATACCATTTTTATTATATTTATTTATTTACTAGCATTGGCCGCGGCTCCGCCCGCGTTCACATGACCAAAATCCAAATTCTTAGGTTTTACATATTAGTATACTCACATTGCAGTTTTTGTATAATTTCTCAGAAATGAGACATTTTCCCACGATAAGTATCCTATATGTTGACCCGAATAACCAGCTATCATCATACCAAATTTCATCAAAATCCCTCCCAGTAGTTTTTTTGTGATGTGGTAACATAAAGACAGACAAAAATTCTAAAAACTATAGATTCGGCTTCTGTATCGATAATGTCTAATTTCAATAAGATTTTCAAAAAAAAATTTAATGTACAGATTCGGCTTAGTTACAATTTTATTATATGTATAGATAATTTTAATCAACACACAGTTGCTAATTTTTGATACCATTTAGATAAGAAATAATGTATTTGACTTGTGTATCAGTAATGTCTGTGTCAATAAGATTTTCCAAAAAAAAAAAATAATGTACAGATTCGGCTTAGTTACAATTATTTTACATTTATAACTCCGGCTAATCAACATGACACCTGGCTCGAATGATGTTTGTGCAATGTACAGTGTGCAAAAAAGTTTTTGTTTCCATTTCAGATTCTCATATGAAAACGAATAATATTTATTTTTTTAAACTTATGCATGTATGTATATTCATAGTATTAAATTTCATAGATGTATCGGTTTTAGGTAGTAACTTTTAGTTGTCATTCGATTTATATGGAAATAGGACGAAAATAAATATTCATTCGTATTTTTATATTGGATTTATTAACTGAGATGCTATTATGACGATACTTTTGGCTCAGTTTGTAGTGATCCTACTTGCTGTGCCAGCGGTCGCCGGTTCGAGTCCCGCTGGGGGAATTTATTTGTGTGATGAGCACGAATGTTTGTATTCCAGTCATAGGTATTTATATTTATAATATGTAGCTATCATATTTATAATATTTATAATTTAGCTTACCATGGAACTAGATGGCGCCGTATGTTAATGTCCCAACATATATTTTATATTTATTGCTACTGCCTTCGCAAGGGGCGTAGTGGGAAAGTAGCAAGTAGCGGGGGAAGCGTCGAGTTCGAGCGAGGTGTCATGTTAATTCGCTCGGCTTGTATAGTAGAAGTATTGCATTGGAATCCGCAGGTGTACACGGACAGAAGGGAGAAACGGCCGGACGTGACGTGCTGCCAGTTCCTGGAGCACCCGCACCCGGCGCGCGGCCCGCCGCTGCCGCGGGGCTCCGCCGCGTGCTGCGCCCTGAGCGCCCTCGAAGTGGACAACCCCGTCGTGTACAACTACCTGGTGGACGAGCTCGCGCTGGAGACCATCCTGCTGGTGCAGACCGATGAAGAGGCCATGCAGTTCTGCCAGCGCGAACAAAACGTGCCAAACAACTGCCGCAAGGTGCGTTAATTCACTCTTTAAGTCACTTTCCAAAATCTGTTTTTGAAGTTATATGTAGGTACTTTGGCACGTTTGGAAAAAAATATGAGAGTAAAATTTTTACGATGCGCGCTGTCAGCCAAAAAGCGATATAATGAAGCTGCATTCCTTTTACAAACAGATACTTTTGACATACGGTATGAAATCTTTAGCTATTTTTGTTCTTATTACTCTAAGTGTGTGTGTGTGTAACACACGTTTTTTTATCTGTATGTCTGTATTTATTAAGATGGTTTTAGCGAAAATAGCTATGAGGACTTTTTTGTACTTGGTGGTTTGGTATATTGTCTTTTGCAATTCTATGGTGTAAAAAGGCTATATAAATATATGAATGAATAAATTCATAAATAAATAAAAAAATAAAATATGCAGTCACTGGGTTTGTCGGTTGAAGTGATAACCTATAACTTTGGAATAACTGTTTTTTTTATCTTTTAAATTAATTATTGTATGAATAATTAAAATTTCATTATTTGTAAATTGAAATTATTATTATACTGGTTTTCTCATCCATTGGCACTCCGAGCAATAATTAATTATTTACATTTTGATATAATTCATTTACTAATTAAAACATATGACGCTGCGCGTCGCCAGTTCACGCCGGACTGCGTCGACACGTCACATGTCACACGTAGCATGTCGGTGATGCGAACTCATCAGTTTTGCCCCTGCCAAAAGGTGTTTGCCCACTACACACACGGTCCTAGTACGGTCATGGTTTGAGACGTGTAGTGGCCAGACTCCTTAAAGAGGTTTTCATATCAATAAATAACGAAGGTGGTGACGTGTGAGTGCTCCGAGTACTTCCCCGCGCCCCGCTACCGTTGCTACGGCAGCGAGGCGCGTCCGGTGCGCTTCCTGCATGCCAGCGCGGAGGCTGCGCTACGGCAGCTGCGCGCGGAGCACAGCGAGTGCGCGGCGGCGCGCGAGGCGGCCGAGCGCGACGTGCGCGAGCGGCGCGAGCAGTGCGTGCAGGCGCAGGCGCGGCGCGAGCGGGAGCGCGCGCGGGTGCGCGACCTGCACACGAGCATGCAGCGCCACGAGAGCGAGCTGCGACGCTGCGAGAACGAGCTGCAGCGCACGCACGCACCTCAGCTGCAGGAACGGGTCAGTGATTCAGTGCTTTGGTGCAGGATGCCGCCTTATCTATATTTTTAATTTTTTTAAACAAACGCCAAAAGCTATTTTATATATTTGCCGTTTATGATATCCATATTTAATATTATATAATATGTGAACGTGTGTTTGTTTGTCCTTTTTTTACGTCGAAACCTAGTGATGGATTGGCGTGATTTTTTGTGTGCAGATAGTTGGAGGGCTGAAGATTGACATAGGTTACTTTTTAATCCCCGACGCAAAAAGAGGGGTGTTATAAGTTTGACGTCGATGTCTGTCTGTGTGTGTCTGTCTGTGTGTGTCTGTCTGTGTGTGTCTGTCTGTGTGTGTCTGTCTGTGTGTGTCTGTCTGTGTGTGTCTGTCTGTGGTATCGTAGCTCTCAAACGGATGGACCGATTTCGATGCGGTGGTTCTTAGCTATTTTTGGTTAATATCGGTCCAGCAACGTAAGAGTATAAGCGCTTTTCCAAAATGATGTAAGAAATTTTGCCGTATGATTACTCGATTAAGTGCTTCACGTGTGCCAGTGTAACCGTTAAATGACAATTAATTTGCGGTTTTGGGAGGGGGTTTTTAAAATTTTTAATTTATAATTATTATTGCGGGAGATTATCTCAATTTCATAGGAAAATACACCAATAACAACCCATCATACCTGTGTGTATATAGTCTATCTATCCCATACTATTCGTTATAACGTACCTAACCTAACTTTCGAAGGTCCTGGGTTCGAGATCCGGGTCGGGCCAAGCTTATTTACGGAGTTTTTCTGTTAAAATTCTCTCATTAGTAACACTGAGTTGGAAAGTTCGCGGTGTTACACTCCCGTGCGTCGTCAGTCCCGCGACTTAACTCTAGCGGTCGTATCGAAGTATGGTCCCATCGGACTTTCTGATTAGTGATTAATAATAATATTTTTTTATTCAAATACTTTTACAAAGTTACATAATATTTACAAAAATATATTAACCTTAACCTAAGTATAAGAATCCTACCCTGAAATTTCTTTGGCAAATATCGCAATTAAATTATAACAAATCAATAATTAAATAAGGCATCTTACAATCATATATTTATAGAATATCTTATACGGCAAAAATATATTTGTCAACAACGGTTAACATGGCAACATGTAGTCATAATAACTTTTGTTTAATTTATGCACATTCATTCCTCAGTAATATATATATACATTTTTATAAGTTATAAGTTTTTTTTAGTTTAAAAGTTACTTTATTAAACATATATTACATAACATATTATTCAGTTTTATTTTTCACTTCCTGTGTAATGTATTCTATCTCATTCTCTCGCTGGCTTAATCCTATATATTTATGTGTTTGTCTCTTTCTCGTGTCGCATTTCCGTTTCATCGAGTTTCAAATCACAACGATTCTAAAGAAGTTGCACTTCAAAAACGTAAGATATGGTGTTGTCCCTAAATAAATAGCTTTGTATTTCAGCAAGAGGAGATGAATATATCACAGCAACGGTTACAAAAAGCGCGAGAGAACAAAGATAAAATTGAGCAACAGGAGAGTGAATTAGCCGACAAAATTAAAGAGACCTTGCAAGAACTGAAAGATGTGAAGATGCAGCTCAATCGTGTAAACAATAATATTAAAAATACTGATGTGAGTATAAATAATCGATTTCAGCATTTCATTTGAAACTAATTAATAGTGTTTAAAATTATACAGACATCTTTTTTATTATATCTTCACAGATAAATAAAATTGAAGTGTCTTTTTGTAATGTCAAACTGACGACTTTTTGCTAAATGCATATGAAATTATATACGATTTACGTATAAGAAAAACACAATTATGTTCCGGCTAATCTCCTAAAAAGGCTAGATTGATTTTGACAGGACTTTTAAGGGCAGATAGCTTGTGTTATAAGGAGTAACTTGAGCTATATTGGAGTCCCTCTAAAAAATTAAAACGTACCTAATTTAACGACGTAATTTACGGTGACTCCTTATTAGAAGTAGTCGGTTTAATATATAAAACCACCTTATTTAAGGTTAAAAAAAACAATAAATAATATAACCTACAATTTTAAACATTTTACAGGACAGTTTGGAGAAGATGCAATCTGAATGTAATAAGAAACTATCGCAGATTGAACTCAAAAGAAAAACTCACAACGATATTAAAAACATCCTGGAGGAAATGAAACGGAAAAATCAAATTGAAATACCTGAGAAGAAAAGGCTTATTGAAAATTTAAAAAATGATGTAATCACACAAGGCTCAAGAATCGAGAATCCTAGGTGAGATTAAAATGTTGTTTTTTTTTTATGTTGGTAATGGCAGCGCAGTAGTAACGCGTTTGCTTTGGAAACCGAGAGAAGCAGGTTCAAATTTTGGGTCTCGCCTTTGATATTTCCATGTGCGAATCATTTCCAACATGATTATCATTTGTCTTACTGTGAAGGTCAACATCGTGAGGAAACCTTCATGTCAAGAGAACCTAAAGGCTGTTTTTTAATCTCAGAGACTAAATTGACACATGTAAATGTCAAATTTACAAATAATGCTGCCAGCTCATTTGTGCAGTGTTGTACCTACGATAACGGTTTGTTTAATCGTAACTTTTTATCCTTATTAGACGATTCGCTTCAAACTTTTATATTATTACGACGACACGTTTGGCTCAATTTGTAGCGACCCTACTTGCTGTGCCAGAGGTCGCGGGTTCGTGACCCGCTGAGGGCATTCATTTGTGTGATGAGCACGAATATTTGTACTCTAGTAATTATTTTTTATTTATTTATGTATAATAAAATAAAGTAACAGAATGTCGAAAATGGATATCTTATCTCTCTAAGAGATTTCTTCCAGAAACCTTTCAGATGTGAGAAAATAAGTTAATTTGGTGCGGTGTACGTATAGTATAGCATTAAACGGACTTGAATGAGTTAATCTTAAAATATGTCAACTAAATACGTTCAATGTGTTCCAGACCAAAACACGTACTGACAGCGTTACTGCAAGACAAAGAGGCGGAGCTGAGCTCGTTCGCAGACGAGCAGTACGACCAGGAGCATGTGCGCAAGGAGCTGGACATCGCCCGCGAGAAGTACGAGACCATCAGTAAATACCTGGAAGACCTCGAGCAGCTTATTGAGGAGGTACTCAGATCAAATCGGCTTCTACGACCACTTTTGAATCGTCAATGAATGAATGAATAACTTTTTATTGTACACCCAAAAAAAAAAAACTAAAAGAGTAAAGAAAATATACTAAATATAGAACAAGGTATAAGAGGCGTCCTTATCACTAAAACAGCGATTTCTTCCAGGCAACCTTTAGGTGTAGGAAATAGTACTAAGATAGAAGGGGCGCGAATAATAAATAAAGGGACAGTAGGATTAGTATATTGATACATATACGTATCATACTTACATAAATATATAATAAACACAAGTAAAATATAATTGACCAATAAATACATAAATACCTATATTATATATATATATATATATATATATATATATATATAAATATAAAAAGACAAGTTTAGCAAGAATTATACTAAAGTTAATAAAGATAACAATAATACATACATACATTGTTCAATTTTACATTTTGAATTTAAATTAAATATCAGTATGTAAGTCCGTAAGGAATCTACCACTGGCCCGAGAGGCAGTTTTTTTGAGAATAGCCGGCGAGAAATTCAACAGATGCTCTTTTTAAATATAAGTACCTGGGCCTCCGAGCTTCGCTCGGAGTTTTTAGCCAAGAAAACATTACTCGAAAACACGCGTTTTCTCAGACATAAAACTAATCTAGATCGATTTATCGCCCCCGAAACCCCCTGTGTACTAAATTTCATGAAAATCGTTGGAGCTGTTTCCTAAATTCAGATTATATATATACAAGAATTGCTCATTTAAGTATATTAGATTATAATTTACAATATATCAATACAATAATAATTATGATCTTATCCTGCGTATTGACTAGTAGTAAACCTACACATTTGCATCAAATAAAAGTTATTGGTTCCTGAAAAATTAATAGCTCCTGAGATTAAGCGTTCAAACAAATAAACTCTGCCTATTATAATATTTAGTATAGATTATACCTACAGATTTCTCATATATAAATTTAAAAAAAAACATCCCCATAATAATAGGAATAATTTAGTTTTGGAGGAAATTTTAATTGGGTGTAACCTTTGTGTTTTAGTTAGAAAGTAAATTATACTAGAGTTCGCCGAGAGGAGAGTCGAACTTCGACCATGATTATTATTGATTTTTTTTATTTATAAAACTAAAGCTCGTCAATAGCTATTAAACTAAAACTAAAAATGAACAGATCAGTTCACAAACAAAATGTTTATTTTAATTAATTTCATGTATCTATAATATATTTTATATAAAAATATTAGATTTCTACACTATATCTCCATATAAACTTTAACTGTGTCAATTTTCACATTCCTCCGTCCGCGTAATTTTCTTAAAAAGGAATACAAAGTTTTTGCTTCACATGTTAATACATAATTGTCAATTTGATCACAGACTTTAACAATAAACAAAAGAGTATACATATATGCGTGTGTGTGTCAAGTACATGGTACTGTGTGTAATAATTTTTTTATCGCTTAAATGTATTTTTTATGCATAATTTTAAAAAAATACTAGCATTTTGGACTCCTCTATATAAGCTATAAATGTGGGAATTCTTCACGTTTTAATATATAGATAATATAAAACATAACACGTAACTTTCCAGATGACGAAGACGGTGGACACGCACCTGCGCTCGTGCCTGCTGCGCCTCAACACCGTCAGTCTGCACGTGCAGAACAACTTCAAGGCAATCCTCGACATGCGTCGCATACAGGTAGAAGACAGTGTAGCTAGCATAGTATAGACTTTTTTTGATGTTTGGAAATGCATTTACGATGTAAGACTCCCCTATTACTCACTAAAACCCACCGCAACCTCCCCTATCTTAATGGGGCGTCGCAGGATCGCTTACGCATTCAACCACGACGCCCCGACGGCAGGTCTGCTGAAACAGACCACAACAACCCAAGGTCCAACAGTCCACTTTGCTATCAGAAAAATACCAGGAGCAACCCACCCCAGCAGCATGGCACACCGCCCACCGAGGTGGGCCACCTTTCTGTGTGATTATTGGCTTCGCATCCGGCTGGATTGCCGGACGCTAATGAAGTTATTACGTATTTTTATTGAACTTTTTTATTCATCACAGACTATTTCTCAACAGTTTTGTTAATTTGTATAGTAAAATTTGATTTGGTATAATTTGAGTGACCCAGCAGTATAAAATAAGTTGGCTGTACTGGAAGCAGTTGTCTCTACTGGCAGCCCTGCTTTAACCCCATAAATTGTCACTTTATATAGTACAATAAATAAATAAAAAATGTTATACCTATTCATTACAGGGACAACTGCACATAGACAATGTATCAAAGAAGCTATGGTTCGACCAGGGCGGGCGCCAGGCGTCGGGCGGGGAGCGGACGTTCGCGCTCGTGGCCTTCCTCGTAGCGCTGCAGGAGTGCGTCGATCTGCCTTTCTTCTTTATGGACGAGTTTAACGTGTTTCTGGTAAAAGACGCAAACTGTTTTTTTATACTGTATTCGCCGAATGAACCAAGCACAGATTTTGCGCTTCCACGTCATTAGTTGCAGATAAGACGCTTAGGCCGCGACTACAATGCAATTGAAGTCATAATTAGTCCGTCGTTGTATTCCGTACCGTTCACCCGTCTCTCGTGTAGTTACCTCATTTATTATCAATGTAGGAGAAGACAGTGGTACGTCGGAAAGCGAAAATTAATAAATAATGTATATAAATATTTAAAAATACAGTTAATTTTATTTTAATGTTGATTTTATTTTATTACAAATTATTAATAATTCCTCACTAAAGCATTAGCAACATGAACGAGCCTTATGATTTCAAACCAGTTTGCAATCGTTAGTGGGCGGAGCTAGACAATTTTCTGCCCTTATCAGTTTATATGCCCATGTGGGACAGAGAAATCGCTTTGCATGGTTCACTCCGTGAATAGAGTATAGGTTTAATAAGATATAACTGCTTTGTTGTTGTGTTTTATTTATTAGTATAATAATATTATATAATTCTATACTAAATATTACGTTTAAAGACCTTCCAGCTGCTCATGAACTGATAAGCAGCTTTGAGGAGTAAAATTTGTATGCTAAAAAGTGTAAAAAAATACTAAAGCAACAGATAATACAAAGAAAGACCAAGAGTTTTTTTCTGTTAGTCATCAGTTTGTTTTGATTTGTATATATATTGTGACCGTAGGACGGCGTTAACTACAAGAAAGCTGTGGAGTTGCTCCTAATAGCTGCGCGCAAGCGTCCCGCCTGTCAGTACGTGTTCATCACTCCCAACGAGCCGCCCGGCCTGCGCTCTGACACCGACCTCGACATACAGACGTAAGCACACCGAGTATCATACGCACGCACACGCACACATACATACGCATATACATTACAAGCGGCTCACTTTCGCTTCGCTCGGGCTCGTCCCTAGCTTGCTTCCCGATACAAACTTTCATCCCTATTTTCACCCCCTCAAGGAATGACTTCCAGAGTAAAAAGTATCCTATGTCCTTTCCAGGGTCTGAAAGTATCTTCTTACCAAATTTCATCTAAATCGGTTCAGTAGATCCAGAGATTACCCCCTACAACGTCACAAACTCACAAACTATCTGTTTATAATATTATAGTATAGATAATAATTATAATATTACGATGAAGAAAGCTGTTGTGTGAACCTGCCTTTAATTAAGTATCTATGGTAAAACTTACCTAGTTATCTATGGTTTTATACCTGTCTCTTTCTCACCAGCGGGCTTCATCTCCCGTCTCAGAACCATGTCCTAAAGTTTCATAGTCTTCATCTCACCAACAAGAACATTGCTGTAACGCTGTGTGTTTTATTCAACACATAATACCTTTTTTGTTGTAATGCAAAACAGTAATATTATGTATCTTTCTAAAACACACATCGTTACGATGAAGACCTGTTTGGTATCTGCTGGTGGTAAACACACACGCTATGATGAGAATAAATTATAAAACTGTTTTAAAGAAAATCAGTTTAATTATCTAATAAAACTAAAATAACATTATAAACAACACTTAATAACTTATAAGTCACAACTTCTGTTAATCTATAAAATCTTTAAAATCAACAACAACAAAACACTAAAAGTAATATTGAATTAAAATAAAAAGTTTTAAAACCAACACTAAAAGTAATTCTCAAATAATTATAATATCAAAGATACATAAATCAGGTTGTGGGGGTTGTTGATAGATGTAAATTGATAAAAGTCTACTGAGAGTATTTTAAATGCTTGATTTATTTGAAATAAACTGCTATATTGAAATGATTAAAATGATATGATATGATGTGAGCACGCCCGGGCTTCTTGCTTGCCGAATGCGAACTAGCCTAACTTTTAGAATAATAATTAATATATAATGGAATAAATGACGCGTCCTGAGAAAAAATGATGAGTTACAATATGTATGGTTGCACCGTACATGCTCCCAGGGGAGAGAAAAATAATGAATGATAAATTATTATGATAATGAGACAAGGTGAAGCCATTAGGTCCTTATACTAGATATTTAGAGTCCCTAAATGAACTTTGTCTTTCTAGGAATTGGTGAAAGACACTTGTCCACTTTACGTTTAGGAATTTCACTATATATTTTGTGTTCACTTTGATTTTCAGTACCGCACTCGATCTTACACTCATTATTACGCGCACTGACACTATATACACAATTGATCGGCTGAAACTTTGAGCTGCCGGTCGGCAGGGGTTGTTCGACGTTGGTGGTGGGTTGAGTAGTCGCTTGTTCGACCCTCACCACCGCCGGCTGTAGAGGCCGCTTGCTACGAACTCGTCGTATCACGAAGATGACTCCAACGAATAACGTAATTCCCAAAATCACATATATTACAGTGTAATGATGAATGTCGTGATAAGAAATTTGATTTGGTATGTTTTCATTACTTTTAAGATTCTCTATTTGTTTCTTGAGGTCATCTAATTGCTTGTCGTGAGATAAATTATAATTTTTATAAAAAAATTTTGGGAAGCTAATATCTATGAGATGGTTGATTGGTTCTATTTCCGACGCATAAAACTTAGTCTTTATGTGTAATTCACTTAAGCCTTCATTATATGAGTAGATGGTAAAATTTTCGGTCTTTAATAGGCACCCTTGTTCAATACCGAGTATTCCGGACTTCTCCATCCGTCCTGTTACCGCGTGGTCGTCACATAACACACGAATATAGCATACATCACAACAAAAATATAAGTAATTGTTTATTTTATTAATTTTTATCCACTCATTCGTGCATGTACTTATGGATATCTTGCATTTTCCTGTATTTTGATCGATTTCACATAAGTTCTCGTCATTTTTTAAGTGATAAATAGGTCTCTGTACATAACACAGGTATAATTCACTTCCGTCGTATTCACATGAATTGATGTCAATAGTGTTCATGATTAAGTAGGATTCCCTTTGTAGGTTTATAGCTACGTACTCCGCAACGGGTATTATTTTCGCCATGTTCGAGTTACTAATAGCTCGAGGAATTGATAAAATGTTCATGATTTCGAATGAGTCCCGAGTAATTAGAGGAACTTTTAATTCAAATATTAGATATTCTCTGCACATCCTTGCTTTGACCTTTAATAGATGATAAATTCTTGTAAAATCTGTTTGGAGGTTGTTAATAGGTAATGAAACGTCCTTAGTGAGATGATATAGTACTTAGTGTATTTCTTAGCTGGTCTGGGTTTATCAAATGAAAATTGAATCTGCCATGATAGACGTCTATTACGGTATTTAATAATGTAGTCTGCATTGTTTCTAATTGCCTTAACATGTTACTCACTGCTATTGCACCCAAATTAAATTCATTAATTAAAGCATTTTTTGCGGATTCACTCTTTAGAAAATTTTCTAAGTTTTCAAGGTTCATGGAAAGCTGATTGTGCATTTTGTGTTGTTTATTGAGAGATTCTTCATTCCTCTTCAAAATATTATACTCAACCTCTAAGACAGACGTTTGATTTTTTAGAAGTAAAGCCAAATGATTCTCATTGTCTCTTGTTAATTGGATATCTTGTTTATATTGTTCGGCGAAATGATCGTCGAGTACACCGAATAGGCTGTTAGCAATATATCCGACACCATTGATAAGGCCGCGGCGTCGGCGCTTGTCTTGGCGCGTGCCGGAATGTTGACTAAGCAACAGGTGGTTATTGTATTCCAATTCCGAGTACTCAAGTTGTAGTTGGATTGATATGACGTCACAATGGGAATCTCCTTTTATTTTTATACAAAGGCGATCTAAGTATTTTATGTAATCGTTGCATGCTGTTGTTCCTTGCCAATATGGATTCATGTCATAATAAGAAATTATCTTCCATTCGTCTCTTATTAATTTCATATCGGCGAGTTTGTCGAAATATATGCTATTATTTTGTATAGGAGTTATTTTGAATGAGGCACTCGACGTAGGTATTATTGTAATAAATAAATATAATAAGGATAAACATAGATTTGAAAATTTAATTTGTTTAGTTTTAATTTTATTAGTTTTAGGGCTGTCTTCGTTTGTTTTTAAGTTAATTTGAGATTGTTTTGTATTTGATATAGATGAATCTTCCTTTGTTTCATGAACTGGCAGTACAGAGAGTTTGATAATTGGGCGCTGGATAATCCCATTTTTAGTTTTTAGCGTGACGACTCGCACTCGGCCATCCGAGCCGGGATGTAGCTCCACCGGCCGAGGCTCCATTTTCCTGGCGGTAAGTTAGTATCCTTAATGATAACGACATCATCGATTTCTAAATTTTTTTGCGGGCGAGTCCACTTGCTTCTCGCATTTAACTGAGTTAAATATTCATGTTGCCATCGATTCCAAACATTGTTAAATATCTGTTGTGTTAAGTGCCACCGTGTTCTTAGGTCATGTTCTGTTTCGTAAATTGTCAGCATAGGGCCGCTTGACAGAAAGTGAGATGGCGTCAAAAAGTTTAAATCGCTTGGATCTTCAGTAAGTAAGTAAAGGCCGCGAATTTAAGCATGCTTCTAGCTGAGAAAACAGTGTTGCGTATTCTTCAAAGGTAAGTCTTTGCTCACCTATCACCCTTTTTAAATGGTTTTTCAAGCTTTTTACCGCCGCCTCCCATAGCCCACCTGCGGATGGCTACGAGGGGGCGTTGAAATGCCAATGAATCCCCATTTCCGAGACTTCTTTCATAAAATCTTGATTAAATATTTTTTGTAGTTCTTTGTATTCCTGTTGTAAAATTTTACTAGCTCCTTGAAAGTTAGTACCTTGATCACTATATAAATGTTTCGGGACTCCTCGCCTAGCGGACATTCGACGTAGGGCTGCCAAAAAGGCGGACGAGGTGAGGTCTGATACTATCTCTAAGTGTACGGCCTTTGTCACCATACAGACAAATACCGCAATATAGCCTTTGGTAGTTTTGATACCTCGGCCCTTATTGGCCTTTATGTAGACGTGACCGGAATAATCTACCCCTGTGTGATAGAAGGGGCGCGATTTGTTCACTCTAGGTGAAGGCAAATCGCCCATGATTTGAGCAGTTTGGTTTTGGCTATATTTTCTACAGGTAACACACTGACGTAATCGTTTTTTAGTAGCTCGAATACCACCGATAATCCAATATCTTTGGCGCATGAAGGCGGAAGTTAACTTAGCTCCCCCATGAAAAGTTAACTCGTGAGATTGGTCAATGATAAGGTCTGCTAATCGAGTATTGCTTGGTAAGATAATGGGATGCTTCATTTCGGGATCAATATCTGCATGCCGTAGTCTCCCTCCCACGCGCAGCAAGCCGTTTTCATCCAACATTGCGTTCAGACATGATATTTTGCTTTTATTGTATATTAGTTTGCCTTGTTGCAAACATTTGATTTCTTCATAAAATTCTTCTTGCTGAACTTGCTTTATAATTTGTTCTCTTGATTCTTTCAACTCTTTAACTGATAAAAATTCCGTCTTTTCTCTTTCTTTTCTGATAAATCTTCGCACCCATGCTAAAACTCTGATAACCTTGGTAAGTGAGCTATATTTTCTCAGTAGAACATTAATGATTTTATTTTCAGTCGATAATTGCGTAATGTTTACTTGTTTTGCTGTTCTTTTTTCTTCATTCGTGGTGTAGCTATGGTTTTGGTTTTGTTCTTGATATTCATGCGTCTTTAACCATCCTGGGCCGTGCCACCACAGCGAATGTTCTTTTAATTCTGATGTTGTGATACCGCGGCTAGCGCAGTCCGCCGGGTTCTCTTTTGATTTGACGTATCTCCAACATTCGGATGGTACTGAGTTTGTAATAGTTTTAACTCGATTGGCAACGAATGGCTTCCATTTTTCTGCTTCTCCATTGAGCCACCCTAACACAACTTGAGAGTCAACCCAACAATAAGTTTTTATTTCATAATAGTTTAGGCATTGTTTTAATTTTAAAATTAATTTAGACAGTAACAGTGCCCCACTTAATTCAAGTCGAGGTAAAGAAAGTTTTTTGCTGATGGGCGCTAATTTTGTTTTCGCGGCGACTAACACGATTGTAGGTGATTGACCCGTTGTTTTGCAATACACAACGCAAGCGTAGGCTTTCGTACTTGCGTCACAAAATCCATGCAATTCTATTTCTTGATTTTCTTTTGTATGGAGCCACCTTGGCACACGACATTGATTTATATCTTGAATACAGTTTTTAGCCAAATTCCACTCTCTGAAAATAGTATCTGTAATAGGGTCATCCCATTGCAACTTTGTTTCCCAAACCATTTGAAAAATAATTTTAAACTTTGTAGTAACTGGTGACAACCAACCTAAAGGGTCGAATATTTGAGAAATTTCCGAGAGTAAATTTCTTTTAGTAGGCCGTGTTGAAGAAAAAGTGTTTGTATTTGAAAAGTAAAATCATCATTTTCTGGGTCCCACCGAAGTCCCAAAGTTTTAGTAAAATCATCATTTTCTGGGTCCCACCGAAGTCCCAAAGTTTTAGTTGATTCTGTATGTTTAAATTCGAATTTTTCTTGATTATTGTCATTGCTCTCTGTGGCGCTCTCCACCAAGTGTGGCAAGTTTGATTTCCATTTACGCAGATTAAAACCTCCGGAATGCAATAAACGGATTAAATCCTCTTTCAATTGTTTCGCAGTTGTTTCCGAGTGGGCGTCGTGAAGCAAATCATCCATATAAAATGACTGCTCTATGACTTCTGGTGCGCAACTATTTTTATAATTAATTTTTTCGTCATAAGCTAGCTGTCGCAATGTCATCATCGCGAGGAATGGAGCCGCCTTTGTACCGTATGTGACAGTGGTTAACTGATATTCCTGCAAGGGCTCGGAGGGGCTTTTTCGCCAAATGATTTTTTGCAGAACTTGATCATCTGGGTGTATCCAGATTTGCCGGAACATTTTCTCAATGTCGGCTGTGAACGCGAATTCAAACTGTCTCCACTTGATAAGAAGGTTTTGCAGGTCCTTTTGTAAAGTAGGCCCTTTACACATAACGTCATTCAAACTGTGACCGCTTGATGTTTTATTCGAAGCATTGAAAACTGTTCTTAGTTTCGTTGTAGTAGAGTCGTTTCGAATCACACGGTGGTGAGGTAGATAACAATGGGGTTTCGAATTACCGTTTGTAAATATCATATGATTGAGTGACTTATTTTCCTCCATAAATGCTATATACATGTTCGCCATATCTGCTTGTCTACATAATTTCTTTTCCAAATTATAAAACTGGGCTATACATTTATTTTTTGACTCTCCTAATTTTTCTTGATAATTTGATTTCATCGGCAGCCTCACTTCGTATCGTCCGTCGCTTCGTCGTATTGTTGTAGATTTATAAAAATTGACGCATTCCTAATCTTCTAATGATAAATTTGGTGTTTCTGATATATCCTCGATCTCCCAAAATGTTTGTATTTCTTGTAAATTATTAATAACAACGTTACACTGTAAAGTTTTAACGTTACCGCTCAATATCCATCCAATTTCCGTCTGTTGTGTTGTAGGTAGGTTTTTGCCTGATTTGCATATTCCATCTAATAATATATGTGAGTAAACGTCTGCTCCTAATAAAATATCGACAGGACGACTAATATAGAATTCAGGATCCGCTAAAGAAATATGATCTAAATATGGCCAATCGGGTTTCGTGAATGCTGAACTTGGTAAATTTTTAATGAAATTTTTGATAATATATGCCTGTGTTTTAAATTCAAAGTCCGTTTTTAAAGATTTGCATTCAATAGTTAATTAACCCTTTGCAGTTGTTTTCCTTGGCACCTACGCCTGTAATCACTCCTTTACACCGCTGGCAAGGGAGTCTAAGCAATTGTGCGGCATTCTCTGTTATAAGGGATGTTTGTGACCCTTGGTCTAAGAGGGCCCGCATGATGTGATATTCACCATCAATTCCTTTTATTTGAATGAGGGCAGTGGGTAAAAGAATTTCTGATATGTCATCATGAACTGCATGGCTGCTGCTTTGTACTTGCTGATTGTGCGGTATGACGGCGGCGGACGGGCCGGGCGTTGAACTTGATGACGATCGCAGTGACACGTGCGGGTTATGTGACGTAAATGCCTCGTGTAAAAGCGAGTTATGATCATTATGGCAAATACGACATTTTTTGTTTGAAATGCAGGGTTTACCGTGATGATTGTAAAGGCAATTGGGGCATAATTTTAAGTTGTTAACTACTTTGCGTTTTGTATTATGAGGCATATCTATGAATTTTTTGCAGTGGTAAATCCCGTGATTTTCTTCACTACAAAAAGGACATGTAATTTTCTTTGATGTTTGTAAAGTTAATAATTTTGTGTTTGTTGCATAATTAGTTGAATTTGAGTTTGATTGATTTTTATAATGATTGTTATGATTTTTTAAGAAATACGTATTAATTTTTTGATGTTGATTGGTACTTGGCAATTTAGGTTTTTGATAATTAGTTGTGTCGCCTCTTCTGCGTGAAGACTCTAAGGTGGTAAATTTCGTTTCCAAGAAATTATAAAATTCTTCAAGGGCTTGCAATTCTCTAGGGTTGCTCAAGGACTCCATATAATCATTATATGTCTCCGTATCCAACTTTTGCAACAACAGATGAATGAGTAACGGATCCCAGGTGCTGATATCTACTCCCAGGTTCTTAATCGCGTTGAGACACTCCTTGGCGGTGTCGTGAACTCGCTTGATATGGTTTATTGATTGGTGTTGCGCAATAAGTATATTTAAAAGAGTATTAATATGCGTCGTGAAAATAATTTTTTTGTTATCATACCTATGATTTAAAATTTCCCAGCAAATTAAATAATTGTCTGAGCTGATAGGTAAATGTTGAATCAGCCTCTCTGCTTCACCCTTTACCTTTCCCTTTAAAAATTGCATCTTTTGTGCATTCGAAAGCGACGGATTTTCGTGAACTATTTCAGTAAACAAGTCTTTAAATGATACCCACTGATTATAATTCCCGTTGAACGTTGATAATTCCATCACAGGAGTGGATTTTTCCCTGTGAGCTACAGACCACATTTTCTTGTTTATGGCTTTTTTGATGTTATTGTAATATTCCTCAAACTTAGTAAACTCTTTTTCGTACTCTTGATTCGAACTATCTAGCTCGCAGTCTAACTCCCAATGTAATACATCAATTGCTGACCAACGAGACTGGATAGTTTGTAAAACGTCTTCGAATTCCCATTTTTCGGTAATTAAATCTAAATTTATGCTTGATGTAGTTCTAGAGAAAGCTTTAAAGTTGGTCATTTGCCTTTTCAACATATCTTCCGTTTTGCTGTTAGTTGATTTATCGCTTAGAGCCCGAGAGGTACTGGGAGTGGGTGCTATTATGGGGTTGAGGGTTGGTGGCTTAATTACCGGTGACTTTGGCCTCTCCGGTGCTACTGATGGATAGTTTTGTATAAAGTCCCGAATTTTAGTATATTTTTGCTTTACTTCCTCGTATTGATTACTTCTAAAATAATAGTGAGACGCATCTCCGAATGATTTTAAGCTGATATGATTACTGTGGAACTCATTCCAGTAAGAGTCTAGAGTATCCAATCTACGTTTTATGTAGTCTGAATTTTTTCTTACGGAACTATCTTTTTTAAAATTCGTAAATAACTGATCTATGGCATTTACAATTTGCTCTTGAGTCATAAGAATTTCTTCCATGGTAGACATGATGATGACAGTACTAAGTTGACTGATATATAAAACAAATAGGAAAGATCTTACTTGATAGCTGCTACTTGATACACAATATGATGATTTCCCAGCACAACTTGATGGTACAGGGAAGGGGTTGTGGACGATGTTCTTCCACGTGCCGCTAACCGGAACCGCCGACACTAATACAGGTTATTGCACTCGCGACGTGGTCCCGCCTAACGACGGCTCGAAGGACCAATGTTGGGGTTGTTGATAGATGTAAATTGATAAAAGTCTACTGAGAATATTTTAAATGCTTGATTTATTTGAAATAAACTGCTATATTGAAATGATTAAAATGATATGATATGATGTGAGCACGCCCGGGCTTCTTGCTTGCCGAATGCGAACTAGCCTAACTTTTAGAATAATAATTAATATATAATGGAATAAATGACGCGTCATGAGAAAAAATGATGAATTACAATATGTACGGTTGCACCGTACACAGTTCTTTCATTACATCTTAGTCATCATGACTAAGATATATATATAATAGATAGACATAGTATTTAAAAATTAATATATATTTATCAATTAATACATAATATTTAATTTAACTATTTTCTTAACAGTAATAAAATTTGCCAAAAGACCTTATATATATTAGTAACATTTGTACACAATAAATCAACACTGGAATTAACATAATCCTTATTGTTTACTGGCCGACAGTAAAACTTTCTGAATGTCTCAATGCTTTTCCAGTTTCCTCTATTAAGTATCTCCTGTACAGGTCTATTCTCAAATCAGCTCCTTGAGGCAACAACTGATCTGATACTGCCTGGAGGGTATCAATATTGGCATCTTTAAAAATACTACATATCTAACCTGCAATCACAGCCTTTGAGGCTGGCCTTAGCTTTTCTGACAGAAAAATGAATAGGCTTGTAATTTTTAAATAAAATCTTTTCGGATTATTTCGCGGATATTTTTAGTTCCCGACGTTTCGAATGCTTTACAGCATCCATGGTCACGCGAGAGACTGAGGTGTTACATGTCTTGAAGGTATAGTTGTTACAGACAGCCTACCCACAATTAACAAAATGAAAATTGCACCAATTACAATATTTTTAACTTTAAACATTTTTATTATTTTAATTATAATTGAATATGGAAGGAATATTATTTATTTCATTTTTGCTATTATTTTTATAATTATTACAATTTTAAAAAATATTAGTAATCTATATTTAGTGTTATACATTATTATATTTATAACCATAAAGAAAAATATAAAATATAGTATAAATTATTTAAGCCATATAATTGTTCAATGTGTAATTTAAAAAAAGTTAAAATTAATTAAGGATAATAATTTTAATTTAGTTTGCTATTATTTAAAAAACAACTTACTAAGCAACAGTATTACTATATACTTTTACAAATGAAAAATGAAAAATATTAATCTGATAAGCTGTCATTTTGATCTACACAGTAAGAACTTACTACATCTACCTGTCTGTTATGTTTATATTTATTATTTGATTTAATTATATTAATAACAGGATCCCATGACGATGGTAGTACCCAGCCATCTTCCCTATTGAAATTTGGATGTTTTTTAATTTCTATGGCTTCTCGAATCATTCTAGGGCGATATCGGTTTTCTTTCGCCAGGATTTGAGGTCTATCGAAACGAATATAATGGCTTGGGCGGTCCTGGCTATGTTTGCAGACAGCAGATGTTGTATTGCGACGGAGCTTCACATCAGCTATGTGTTCTTTGACCCGGGTTCTAATGGATCGCTTTGTTTGTCCAATGTAAGAGAGCCCACAATCACAATCAAGCTTGTAAACTCCTGCATCTTGTAGAGGGATGTGGCACTTGACAGTTGGTAAGAACTGACTAATTTTCTTTGGCGGCTAGAAGTAAGTTTTAATTGAAGCTCGCTTTAGAATGTAGCCAATCTTGTCAGTGACTCCTTTCATGTATGGCAAGACTGCAGGGACGCGCTCGACTGTGGCTGGTTTCACTCGGTCATTGTGACGCAGGCGCGGCACTTGCAGCTTGTTGTCACGCAGAACTTGCTTGACATGTTGCAGTTCTCCGGCCAGGTGTTGCTCGTCACAGATCCCGCGCGCTCTCTGAAACAAAGATTTTCCCACGGTAGCTAACTGTGAAGGATGGTGGTGAGATTCACCTTTCAGGTACCTATCAGTATTGGTCTTCTTTCTATACACAGTATGACTCAAGGTGTTATCTGGGTTTCGTTTAACTAATACATCTTGGAAAGCTAAGGTATTGTCCAATTCTAATTCCATTGTAAATTGTATTGTTCTTACCTGAGTTCCTTCTACTTTGAGATTTAATTATAAGATCCTTATTGTGTCTGACTGGGCAAACATGAGGATCTGGATACCTCCGCGGCAACCAACCTGATTCTCTGTGTACTTGATTGTCAGTCTTTGACCCAAATCTAGGCCACAGAATTACCTTATTATCTTTAAAAATAAGATTCTCTGGATAGTCATCCAGGAGGGTTAGGTCATGAATTCTGCGACCTGAAGCAAGTAAAAGTATCAAGGCTGTTCGCCTGAAAATATCAAATAAATGAACCAGAATTTAAACTACACATTAACCAATCATAAAATTTTGTGTCCCATATTGGTAATTTCTTTACATCGGGTTTAGCTAGAGAAATGGCTTTTATAACCTGAATAATAATGAAAGGTCTACTCCTGATATTGCACAGTATATGGAAACAGCAGATTTATGTAAAATTATAGTTCTATAGGCAATTTACCTACTAAAATTAGTTTTGCCAAAAATCTTGCAACTTGATGATTTTTACAACACCAGGATAGCCATCGCTTTTAATTGAGGCATTATAAGATATTAAAGTAGATGTCTGCCAGCTACTTTTTAATAAGCTTTGTTCCTCTGTGGTTCAGTATGCAATCGGGTCAGCTCACCCCCAATTTTCCAAACCATAAGAGACAACTCGTCCACTTGTGGGGCCAGTTGCTTGTAGTCCGATCTATCAAGACTTCCGCAGGTTCTTTATTGAAATTGGTTCTGTTATCGCTCTCGACCGCAGGTCGGGGAGCCAGAAGCATTTGGTCCACTCCGGTGTTATTAGGATATAAACTTCCTTCGCGTTGTTTAAATGCGCAAGGACTCTGGGTATTAAGCTGGGTGGGGAAAATGCCCAGCCCAGCTGGAAATCTTTGACGGCTGAAAGCGTCACAAAAAATTGCGCAACCATCTCTGGAATCCAATGTTAGGTACTTTGCTAACACTGCTGACTCTCTTGACGCGAATAAGTCTACGTCTGGGACGCCTCAATTTTGAATATAGCTTCCGTTGCCTGGGGTACTGGGTGCCACTCTGGTGCTTTGCGGCCCCTTGATAGGCGATCCGCGATTCCGTTTAACCTCTCCGGGAGGTAAGTGGCTGATAGAGTTATTTGTAGTCTTGATGTTGGAATGACAAATGTTGATGTGGAGCCCACTTAACTGAAATATAAATGTTGTTTAGTTCTGCTCCCCAGCCTGCATCCGCTGGATCTGAGGATAGGTAATGAGTGACACTCTTTTTTATTATTGGTAGTGAGCTATGATCCTCATTTTCCAACCACCATTTGAAGTTTAATTGAGCAGGTAATGGTAGGCTTTTCTTTCCCTTAATCGGTTTTGTCTGAACTCCTTCAGAAACAGTTGTAATCTTTGACATGTAAACGGTCTTTGGGAACTGGATAGTTTGCGAAGTTGAGCAAACCTAATAAACTCTGAGCATCTTTCAGAGAACAGTTTCCAGTGCTCAAAACCTTGGAAAGAAATATTTTTATTTTGTTGCCTTCCTTTGTTGCTTTCCTTGTTGTTGGAAGTTTCACTCTCTTTTGTTTAGTGTTCCCTAGTAAGCCTAGATATTATACCCCCTGAGAAGGCTGCAGAACAGACTTCTTGTAGTTTACATGCCATCCCAAGGTTTCTAATGTTCTCAAGGTTTCCGCAACCTGTGACACACGTACTGGTTGGTCCTGGTTGACCAAGAAATAATCGTCCAGATAAACTAATATGCACCACCTTTGTACTCAAAGGATTTCCGCAACCCAGCTTGAGACTGGCAAACATCTTAGGGGCTGATGACAGACCAAATGGTAGGGTCAACTGAAGAAGTTCATTGTTGTACATCACCCTTAGAAACCTTCTGCGCGCCTGTGCAATTGGTAGGTAAAAAAATAGGCCTGGTGAAAGTCTATTTTCACTAGCTAATTGTTTATTTGTAAAAAATTTGCTACATCTGTGTAATTTGTTGAAAATGTTTCACTGCACATAAGATGGCTCCCAATCTGCCTTCGCCGTGATATGCATATCCTTTCATTCCTCTTCAATATTCTTAATGATCCCAATTCTCCTTCATACCTTTGTTCTCGCTTCCAAATTCTGCCTACTCCCACTCGTTCCAGGCGGCCTTACATTACTGCGATGCTTGACATACCCAAGAGCAACACTAAGTTCTTTCTACAATCTTTTTCGGTGTATGCCGCATTGCTCTGGAACAAACTTCCGAAAGACATCCAATTAAGACCCTCTATAACTGCCTTTAAAAAGAAAATAAAACAGCACTTTCTCACCACATTTTATTATTCCACAATAAGTATATTAACTACTATTATTATGCATTATATTATATAGATATGTATTTGTGTATGTAGTAGTATGTACATATGTTATGGTATATATTATGTATAATGTTTTGTTATATGTATATATAATATATATTTATTTAAGTATTTACATTTGAGTTACTACACTTTAGCCTGCATTTTAATACTATCTCTCTAACTCACTTAGGTTGACTGGAAGAGATCTCTTCTAGAGATAAATCCACCTTTGCTAACTAATTTTATTGTTTGTTACTCTCTGTATTTTACATATAAGTGCAATAAAGAATAGTCATGAACGAATTAGAGACTGGACCTGACATAAAATACAAATGTATGAAAACTAGTTCAACCAAGTGACTCATAACGCACACAAAGATTTTATTACATTGTTATAAACACTGATACAGTATACAATATTTCTAGTGCTTGAACGTAATCGATAAAATACATATATCGATGAACCAATGAAAGACATTTTAGACATTGGTTAGCATAGTCATCATATTTTACATCTTTTAATTTATTCTTCTTCTTTTAATTTTAATAAATTAAAATAAATGAATTAATGAGGCAATAATAATGTGTCCAATAATAATTATTTTTTAATTTGATTTATATAAATACGATGGCATTGATGGCAACATTTTGTTGGCCTATAATAATGTTAATGAACAAATGAATATCGGGTATATATTCCATTAATATATAATAAATATTATTTTGCAAAGATTAAAAAAATATTAAGCAAATTTAATTAAATAAAGTGATTTTGTTGATTCTGTTATTGAACTATTTTAATTGGCAATTGATTGTCTCGGGTAGTTATAAAAATGTGACACTGTCCTAATATTGCTCAGTTCTTAATAAAGATTTGTGAAATTAGGAAAAAGAAAAAGTGATTGCAAATTAAAGTGAGTGTTGGATCGTGAAAGTAAAATAATTAGTGCAAGTGGTAAAGTGTTTTATTACAAATCGCCAACCCAGAAGTTTAGTGCTAAAACATTATTGTTTGATTTTGTGTAATTTATGTTGAAATAAAATTATCTTTATTATTATTACAATGGAATAATATTCCAAAGTATATAAATGTGGAATAAAATAAAATAAATAATTAAGTACACATAATAATTATAATTTTTGCATTTATATTTTTATTTGATTTATAAAATATTTTTATAAATTTATTGTCATCAGATTGTAGGATACTGTGGTAAAAGTATTTTGGGTTATTGTACTGTACAAATAACACAATTCGTTTAGTTATTTCGTCAAATATCGATATATTTTTCGACATTGTCAAGCACTAGTCGATGTCAAATGGACTCGACAATTTTGTCATTTGTTGTGAATGGTATAATCCAGCCATTTTATGATGGTTGTCAGATGTAAGTCCATGGTCAGATGTCAACAATACATAGAAATATCGACTATATTTAACATAGTTGGTTAATATGACATTTTATTTTACATTTAATTAAATTGTGTGATAAATAACAATAAATGTAATAAAATAATGTATTTACAAGTGAAAAGAAATACTGCTGCTTCCGCCGTTATAGTTTTTACATCATTTAACAGAACATTTAGTCATTTTTGGGAGATGTTTTGTTGACAAATAAGTGCTTGAGACTGACGCAAAAAACAAACTACCAAGCTTAAAATCTCCTGGTTACTGAGAAGACCGATAAAGGTACGTCCGCTTATATGTCTGGTCCAGTGGTTAATTCGTTCATGAGAATAGTATATATATTTAAGATCTGAGTCCTCCGAGGTCAAAGATGGGATGCAGACCCCCATCTAACTTTCTCACTTTTCGAAAGAAAAATATAAATAAATCATCCTACAAAGGAATTCTGCGTTGATTTTTAGAGGTGCCTCTACTATATTATTCTGCTTTAATTGAAGAATCATGTCCGTCATGGCTTCTCCCTGGTAGCAAAAAAATGATTATTTTTTTATTTTATTTCTATTTATTTTTTTTTATTTTTTTTCACATGGTTAACTAGAAATTGTACAGGAGGTTTCTTTGAGAATAGGATTCGAGTACAGTTATTAATTTCATTATGTAGCTGCTGGCTCCGAGCTGCTGCCACATATGAACCTAATTTTTAGGCAAATCCCCCTGACATTCCTGACCTGAGTGTCAACCTTGTTTACTACTTGGGGGTGTGTTTTATGTAATTTCTACAAAAGGGCTGGTTAATATTAAATTTAGGATTTTGTTTCTTTTGTGATTGTGATTTATAATCTTTAATATTTGAATTATTTGATTTGAAATGTCTCCTGTGCTGAGATTGTGGTGTCTCTAAAAATCTTTTTTTTCTTTTTTGTTTTAACATAAGAAGGTGTGTTAAGCCACCTGAGAGCCACCTAAGGGAGGCTGCATGGCTTTACAGCTAAAAGACATTCTTGACTTTTGTAAGTGTATTTCATAAATTTGGATTAGTAATCTCTTTTAAAATATGGTCCCATTTTACCTCAATGCACTTGGCCTTTTTACCCCAGATTATTTGCACTATAGTTTCAGAATTTTGGTAAGATAGTGACTCCGGGTCAAATGTACAAGTAAATTTATCAAACAGTGTGAATTAATATTGGCAGTTGTCCAGCCTAGTAAATCTTGTAAGCTTGATCTCAACAACTATCTCAGCTCTAAGATGTTATTTGATCACATGGCTAATAATTTTTTATTTAATATTATATTAAATAATATTTATGATTTAAACTTTTAATTGTTCAGTGGAGGCAAGATAATCTTTATTTTTATCAAAATTACACAACTCTTCATTAACTTTAAGACTTATAAAACCAGTACAATTGTAAATTTATCTTATAATAGATCCCATTCCAAACAGTATTTTTGTAGATTACCTAACTCCTCTAAGAGATCTTTATCTAAAGTTAGTGGATTTGATAAAAATTGAGATGTACTTAGATGGAGTATCATTTTGTTGTAGACCAATTGATTGATTAATGTTACATGTTTGTATAATTAACATACTAACCTCAATAGGTAAGCTTGTAAGATATTGAGATTTGAGACATAATTATATCCTATTTGTTGAATAATGGTATCTATTCACGGGTTTGAACATGTTTAAACTTGTATAATGTATATACTTACTAGACATTTGTCGTCTTTTGTTGGGCGGAGGTGACGCTATGCCCTCCTCATCCTCCGAGGATGAACAAGATGACGAGTCACGAGAACTCATTTTGTTCGAAAGCCGGTCTCCATCCGAAGTATTAACTTTCGAAGATTGTTCACCTACAAAACTTACCGCCTCGATTTATTCCGAATTCATCACTACTACAAATCATGTTAAAAAGTTAAAATACGTATACGTATTTGACGCTGTGCGATAATTTAACACAATATTTTGATGTATTTCAAGAGCATTTTCGAATAACTTTAACTTAAAAAAATTTTTTTAGCTTGAGGGTAGAATTTGTAGCTTATAAAAAAAACAAAATTATTGTAATAAAAAAAAATTTCAACATTTTGAGTTGGCCCACCCTGAGTTTAAAATAAGTAATTAATTTGAATTTTTGGTTTAAATGAAAATTATTTGCTATCGCGTGATCATGTTTGAAAACATTCAAGAATTGACGAATATAGTAATTTTCTACTCCACTTTCATTGTAATGCAGAAAAAGTAACATGTTATTTTTTCATTTTTTTTTAATTTTAATATTATATTATATTGCATTATTAAATATTATATATTATAGTATTTAATAATAATAATAATAATAAGTTCTTTATTTCCAAAAGGTAGTAAGTACATCCAGATATTTGCTTAACACTAACTAAATCTAATTTGGTACATACAAATATTTAAAACATAGCATCTGCAGCCGAACTAGGAGACCTGTGCATCAGCTGTCAGCGCCATATCCCCACGGTTAGGTGACATAAATATTACCAAAAAAAATAAAGAATTACATATCAACTAAAGATATTAATTAATATTACTAAATATGTCATTCCTCTCTCTTAAGATGTGTAATGCATGACTGTAAGAAGTATTTGTGTAATGAGTGTAATGTGTGTGAGCAATTAAAGGAGAGGAGTGTGTAATGTGTGTCTGTGTATGTGTGTGTGTGTGTATGCGCGTGTGTGTGCCTGGGTATTATTATTTTACATAGGCAATATTGCAGGATCAAGTTATATAATAAATATTATGATCAGATATGAATACTAAGAAGGTTTTCAGTTTCAATATAAGTTAATTTTTGCAGGTAATCAAATACAGTTTTTTTACAGTCTATTTTATTAAGGTAGTAAATGTCTAACGTTTTATTTAGTTTATTATATAAGTGTGGTCCTAAAAATGCAAAGAATCTTCTTATAAAAGTTGTTTTAAAATTAGTTGTATCTTTTTTTTTTTTTTTTATGGGACTAAGGGGGCAAACGGGCAGGAGGCTCACCTGATGGAAAGCGATCACCGCCGCCCATGGACATCTGCGACACCGCAGGGCTTGCAGATGCGTTGCCGGCCTTTAAGGAAAGTGTACGCTCTC